AAAAGACTGAAATACAGCATTCGATCGTCACATTTTTCCACGTTAAACCCAATGATTTCATCTATACCGGTTGCTTTCTATGAACACAGTTTTGTATTTGCAGTACACACTATTTAAACATCAATACTGACGTTGAGGTCGTACGCCCATTATCTTGTTTGTATCAATCAATTCTCTATTACAGAAAATTACAGAAACTGGCTGAAAGCGGTGCATTTACTCAGTCATTAAGAGACATCATCAGTTTCCCCAGGAGGATTGATTGATTTGACTCATTACGTAGCGCAGTGGAAGCGGTCCACAGAACTACAATGATGATAAAAAATCTAATTGCCACCTCTGCATTCACATTGAGTAAAAGACTGTTAAACTAAATGGAGAGTGTTCGCCTCGTTCAATAAAGTCGAAAGTTATGTAGAGTTTTGGCTCATTAGTGCGTCTGCTTTTGAACTGAAGTTCTAACACATCTGTATGATATTTTTGCCCTCTGCAGCAACAGACAGAAGTCGTACAAGAGCTAGAGTACCAGATCAGCCTCCTCAACAATGAGAAGCAGAGCCTAGCAGAGCAGATCAAAAAACTGCAGAGGTAAGTGCAAGTTTGTGCTCAGGCACTGATCTGTATTGATGTAGACACAGTTTCCTTTATTCGTTGCAGTTGTATTTCATTTCAACAAGAACATTTGCCAATGATGCTGGGGGAAAATGAGAAGCATTCATAAAAATTTGAAAAGTTTTCAGTACTCCAGTCCACATTATTACCATAACTTTGACCAAAACTGGACCAGAATGGAAATTTCCCCTGAGCACCACTGCTGCATGAAATTACAGAGGAAAAAAAACTGCTCTGAAACTCCATGTCGAGCCTTTAATTGCCACCACCAGGGTTCCGACCAGTTTGCTTAACCACAATCCAGAACTGCTGAGGCATTTTACAGAACTGTTCTACTAATGCTTTTGGATAGTACTGGTTGAACAGTGGATTGTTTATTGATTTGCTGCTTCACTAATGTGAAATGTGTAGTCTTTCTATAACACACTTTTTCATTTTCTTGGCCTCACAGTGAGATTCAGACACTGAAGAGGACTGTCTCCTCCCCACCTCCGGCCACTCTGGACTTGGGTACCCAGAATACATTAAACCCCTCTTCCACTTCTACCGCCACCGCTTGCTCCACTGACCCTCTCTCTGTGGTATGTGGTCAGGTTGAATACGTAGTGCACAGACTTCTGTAAATGCATGCCAGTGATACACAGTATTAAAAGGGCCTGTGTTTTGCAATTGCAAAATTTTTGCAGAATCCCAGTTATTTGAACCACTAATCCTGACTTAATTTAGTCTAAACCTTCGCCTCCTACGGGATTATTGCGAAATTTTTGCAGACTCCTTGGTATTTGAACTTCTAATCCTAACTTAACTGGGTCTTATGCTTAGCCTCCTACAGATAATGGCCAGTATCTGGATATCAGAGGGGTTTCAGAAGCTGGTAATGACCCCACCTCTACTCAAAACACATCACAGTCCCACCCACCATCCCACAACAAGCTTAAGAGTCAGCCACCCGTCCAGTTTGATCAACCGAACAGGTGAGTGGATATTCAGGAATGTCAGACACTTGCAAAACTGAGAAATATGTAAATATTCAAAAAGATGTATGTGATCTAACAATTCTAAAAATTCTGCTTGTACTTCCTGCATGGGAATATGTAAATACACACTACTAAATAACAGTCCTATTATTAAAAATGTTGTGTTTGTTTGTATATTACTTGATGTTTATGGGTTCTGTATTAGATTTCCTGAGTTTAATGTTGCACAATTAAGGTAGCGTACATAAAATACAATGACATGAACTGTAGTTCCTAAATATGACCACTAGATGGCGATAGTTAACAGTCTATGTAACCACAATGCAGAAAATACAGCAGCTATTAGGTGAGTTACTGCCCTCTTGAGTTTAAAAAAAAAAAAAGGGTCTTGGTACTTGGTTAATTTTCACATAGTGCATAATGGGAAGTGAATTTAGATTTTTTATTTTGACTGAACACGTCTTCCCTCTGTCCCACTCGTGCTGTAGAACGTGGAGTGCGTCAACAGCTGGAATCAATGGATCGAATGAATGAATGCATGAATGAATGATAGTTCCTTTTTTTAAAATTCCAGAATGATGCACAGTTGGAAAAAATGACTGGTAAAATGCTGTTGGTCCCTTGGCTGTTGTTGAAAAGGTGTCAGTGCTGCTTTTTTAAAAATATGTTTTTATTCCACTGCCATAAATAGTAGTTACGTGAGTGAGTGGCGGCACTAAGCTCTTTGGCCGAGTGGCACAGTCAACTCCTGAATCATTCAATGGTCATGGCCCTCTCCAGAGTTCTGGTGAACACAGATTAAATGTCTCAGACTATCGTGACTGTTTTCGGTCTCTTGTTGTTTGTGGTGACTCAGGAAATTATCTCCGGCCTTCCTGCAAGCCTTGCTGTCCTTCTGCAGAATGTGTTCCGACAGCCGCCTGGGAGCAGAGGTCAGTGCCACTCTTTTCTTGTGTTTGTATATATAAAAAAGCTTAATTTAGGACAATCACAGTTCATAATGCCCCTCTCATTTCCAGGTGTCTCGTATAGCTGACAGCGAGGAGAGTGTGATGTTAATGCTGGGCCGCTGTCTTCCTCACATCGTCCCCAATGTGCTTCTTGCTAAACGAGAGGTAACCCCAACTCCTGCTGCTCCTCCCTCTTCCTCTTCTTCTCTCCCTCCCTGTATCCCCGTCATTATTGTCATCATCACAGGCTTCTTGTCTTAATGTCTAATAGATACACACACAGCAGCAAGGCTAAGCAGGGTAGAAATTCAGGAAGAGCAGCCTCAAGCATCATTGGGTAAAGGTGCAATGTGTGAAGTTATTTGTCAGTGTGTTTAACGGTGATATCTTTGCGAATGACTGTCAGGATGACATTAAGGTTCGTTCCACAATAAACAATCCCTCCTCAGTGCCAGATATATTCTCCGTAAACCTCGTGAAAAGTGAATTTTGCGTCAGAATTTATCTGAGAGGATAAACAAGTCTCTGCTTTCTGGTGGTGATTCACTCATGTCACCATCTGCTATTGTGAGAAATATTTAGCCCTGTTTGCTTTGAAAGAACACCACCCTTTTCTTGGTTTGTGCAAACTGCGTAGAGGCTGCCAGTCTGTTGGCAATGGTCTAATTGGTGTGATTAGTGGTTTGTTTCAGATAATTTATACGGAACAAAGAATGTCTCTAACCTAATGCTATGAAGCCGCACAGAGCACCTTTATCTTTGTTGCCTTTGAAGATTAAAAAAAGAATATGTGTAGCGTTAGTTTGGAAATTTGCAAGACAAAACAGATTTTCTTTACCTGCAAACCCCCAGCTGACTTGTGTCTATCTATTGATTGGGAATTTCACCTTCTTTTAAGATGGCGTTTGTCTTCACCAGTCATCATCATTCCCCTCCCCCCCCTTTGCTGTTTTTGTCCCCTACTCACATTTGCTGTCCTTTTTGCCTTCACTGGTTTTATTTTTATTCTTCTCTTTTCGTCTCACTCATTCTCTCACTCTCATGCATGCCTCTCTTCTAGAGAATGGTTGCGCACCTTTGCCAGGTGAGTCTTTCACGCACTCATCTGCATGGATCTCACATGACCTGTAGATCAGAATTGTGTAACTAATGCCCAGCTCCTTTAGCTACAACTGCTATCACTTAGGCTCTGACTTGCTCTTATTTTTTCTTTTAACTTTTACTCTTTTTTTCATTGTTTGCAATTGCTCTGTCATTTCTAAAAAGTGCAAATGATCGTTGTCTTATATTGTGCTGTCTCAGGAAAAATATAAAAACTGATTTGTAACTAAAATATAATCTAACATGCAAAATTAGCCTAAGGTAAGCAGTTTTAGCCTTACATGGGTTGTTATGTTTGTCTCTTCAATCCAGTGTATCTTTAGTCTTTACCCTATGCTAACTGGTCCCCTTTATGTTTTATTTGCTGCAGCTCTAATCATTCTAAATGCCTATGTGGCTGAGAAGTGGTTTTAATCAATCCTATACATTTTTGCTACCAATTTTCAAGATTTTTTTCAAACTATACAAATCCAAAGATTTTTTTAAAATCCTTGATATAAATTGTATTTTTTTTTCAAGTAACTTGACAAAATCTAAACCAGCTCGCTTGCTTTAAAAGGTGAAGCCAGCGATTATAATCCAATACATTTTTGTGTGCATTCTGTCTGTGCACTGAAAAAAAAAAAGTCCTATGTTTATGCACAGCTCTGGCTCTGTAAATGGGACACAAACAAAGTGGCTCAGGGCAATCAACACAACACCATTCCAGTGAGCCCCATGCATGTTTGTACACAGGATAGGGAGAGAGGGAGGGAGATTGGGGGGGTAGTGGAAACGAGCAGGATGGTAAACCATGCACCATGCTAACTATCTAAATATGCTAAGTAGCTAAATATCAACAACCGTGTTACCAAATCACAGACTCCACTTTCAACTGTTCGGGAGCGGAGGACTGTACTACGAAGCGAGATCAGTGGGTTAGCAAGGTATGTTGAGCCTAAAGGCAGAGTTTTTAGTGTCACGAAGGTGGCTCTCTTTTTACCTGGCTAGATCTCCATGGTAACTTACGCTGTGGAGCTAACCTGGTCAGGAGCAGGTTATGTTCAGAGTGTCGGATTTAAATTGGCGAGAAGAAACATCTCACTTTAATTAAATTGTTTCCTGACTTTTCTTTATGAGTGGTACAGATTCTCAGCTAAGGGTATGTGTTGTATCTGCAAATATGCTGCGTTGTGCGTGACTAATATCAATAAATGAAGTCGTATAGTTACAGTATCGCACACTGTACGCATCGTGTTGCCATGGGAACCCGACATGAATTTAACTGGCGATGCAGAAATCACATAAATACGTTTCTATGTTTGGCTCTGACTTGTTTTGAAGGCTGTTTACATTGCTGGTACTGCAGATGACAGAAAAAAGAGAAGAAAATTAATTATTCTGCTCGTATTTATTACCAGAGAATATTCAATCAATAACATTCATTTTGCTTTGATTTAGCCAAAAATTAAAATAATATCCTTCATTATGGGACTAATGACATATGGGTCGTTATGTCAGATCTAAATGCACTTCAATGAAGTTTAAAGGTGAATCGGTTTAATGTGCAGCTGTCAGAAGCAAGTGCCTGCATTGATTAGTAAAATGGATGTATTGCTTCATAGTATCTACCCCTCAGAGTAGCTGTTCATGATTTGAGTTCTAATTTCTTCTGAGGAGAGAAGGGAATGAGATTTGACCATAGATTAGGCATTAACAAGCAGTTACTCTTTGGAAGCTATAATGCCGACACCTGTACAGGTGTTCCATCAACTCATAACTGCTTGCATGAAATGTGTGTCTGTGTGTGTCCATGTACAATATGCTTGATTTTTTTATTTTTTTTTTTCACACAGTATTGAAACTTGATAAAACACAAAATGGAGTGCCCGAAAGAGGTAAATCTGGTTGGAGTAGCTCTCAGTCGGGCTGCTTTGCATATCGTCAGGGTTATGTATTTTTTTTCAACCACAGACGGTTATGGAGAACTTAATCTCTTTGCAAAATCTGGATAAACAAACTGCAGGGAGAGGTTGGCAAAAAAAAATAACGCAGCATAACATCGAGGCTTTAGGGTTCTTCTTGAGTGGTGTGGACTTTGTACCATGTCCGTTAGAGTCACCGTGCGTGACATTGTACACACACACACACACACACACGTACACACACAGCTGCTCACACGTCCATCTTGCAACTTGAAGCTTTCTAACCACCGCAAACCTGGAGACACACCTTCAGTTTTTTGAATGTGACACCCCCTTCAGAACAAAAGGTGTTTGACCTGAAACGGTAGTATTGTCCATTGAGACGCTGCCTGCCACCTGGCTGTATTATCAGACACTGTAAATCATTAAACATTGTGTTTTTCTTTAATACACAGGACAGCACTGTACTTTGATTTGCATTCTCTGTATGAACTATTTGTGTTTAATTTTTTTTTCCTTCAGTGAATTATTGTTCTTTTGTTGTAGCACTGTTTTCTGAACACCATTGCTGTGTACAGTAAAATGACAGTATAGGCTTTTCAAAGGGTTTCTCTATAATGACAGTAAATAAATGCTGTAATCATTGACTTCCTTTTTTCTACCGGCCAGAATAACTGTGATCTTTAACGAACTCCAGCAAGACAAAGAGCATTGATAGTTTTATCAAGATTGTTGGTATGACGCATGGCAGACAAGTTCTGGTGATGCTTTAATTGAATGCATGAGTCAACAGATGTTGAACAGAGACCATTCAGAGAAGAATAAACAGCAGACTTAGGGCTAAGACATAACAGAAGCCAAAAACTTGGAGTGTAATCAAGTACAGTTGAGGCTAATGGGTCTGTTATTAGTCTTGCAGACATATGGTCATAAAGTATTGGACAAATTAAAATGTTTTACCTTTATGTTGGCCTTTGGTGAAAAGTCAGTGGATCATTAAAGTTATGAGTATTAACCCTGAAGGGGAGATGGATGTGTTTGCAAGTTTACAGGAACCATGGATGTCTGTGCCAAACTTTCTGACTGTCCAACTTGTAGAGATATTTCACAATTATAGGTGAATATTTCAGCCTGGTAGTCGCACTAGAGAAGAAAGTCATTAGGATACATCCACATTTATGTGTTTATCACACTTGTTTTTTTTTTGTTTATATAAAAGGTATGTTAGGGTAGAGTTACATTAAAAATTCTGTACCATGTTGACTGCATGATGGAATATAATCAGTCTGAATGTCAATGCAAAAAGTCCCAGCACTCTATCACTAATAGCTGTGGAGATGTTTGAGTCTGAACCAAAGTGGCGGGCCAACAGGCACACATTGCTGTTTTCATAGCTATGTAACTGGCATGGCTGAAAAGGATAAAAAAGAATGGACACATGGACGAGAAGTCATTGTGTGGCATTGGATGCAGGCTCTCGTGCATGTCGGTCCATGCACTGGAATGTGTAGTAGTGCTACCCTTTAAAAAACAGCAACGGGCCTCCTGTCCCTGGCGTTCTGGCGTCATTCTGTCCACTCTACCTGCCCACAATGTTTACCCAGAACTGGTCAGATGTTTAACCTCCTGAAGGAGTCTTCACATCAGAAAGGCTGGAGTTCACACCGAAATAGAACAGGGTCATTGTGGTTTCTGGCTCTTCAGATGTGTGCTCTTTATGAATTCCTCTATTTGTTTTAAAAGGCCAGTGCTGTTGACTCTCCAGAATGTCTCTTGTGAAGATGTATAGTATTTTTGCAGGCCAGGACAGAAGATTATTAAATGAGATGGTTGAATTTGGCTGATTTTGGTCAATTTGCAGATTTTTGCCATTTTTTTGACGCTTGAACTGACTTTTCCCACATTGAACTCGGCATGTAACCACTTAAAATGACCCTCAGATACTTAAAAGTCATATTTTTACATTTTAATAGACGGCCAACATGGCACTGACTTCACAGGGTTGGTCCAGTTTTGAGTGAGTGACTCATCAAAGCCTATCTTTACCCAAGTCTCTCTGTTGGGTCCATCTGTCCGTCCAGTGTTGGGGTTTTGCTTGTTCTTCCAACACTTGGCAGGAAAGTACGATATCTTCCTGGAAAAAAAAAAAAAAAGAAAGAAAACAGAGTTTGAAAAAAAATATTTTTAACTCTGTATGCACTCTCTAATTTCGGTGTGTGTGGCGGGAATGTAGGGCTGACCGCAATTTGGCCATGGAGGCCCTGTATCAAGGGCAGCTGAGCTCTCTCCCCTCTGGTTGGAAGGCCCATGAACTCTGCCTGAACTCTGGGATAGAGCTCAGTTTTAGCACAAGAAACTACTGCATTCAGTATGTGTGTGTCTGTCTATATACATGGGTGTGTGCATGCAGTATTAAAACTTCCAAAGTATGTGGCTTGAACTTTATGTGTGTAACCCAAAATCCAAATCAGTCAAGGTATAACACCAACAAGGCATTGAAGGTAAGCATGTTCTCTCCAGTGTTGACGGGCTCCTGTTGGTTTTCAAAGGTGACCCCACTGTGTATTTTTCTCCCTGTGTGACTTGCCCATTTTTCTCTCCTCTTTTTTAATAAAAACCTTCTCCTCTTCTCCTGTTCCTGCTACTCCTTAGAGTTACAGGCCTGCTTGACTGCTACCAGCCATCCTTTCCCTTTGTGTTGTGACCATAATTACCCTCTGTTTTGGCAAAGCGAAACTGATGCCAGCTCTTTCCGTCTCTCTCTGTCTTCTTCTCTACTTCAGGAGTTGATTCCTCTCATCCTGTGTACCGCCTGCCTACACCCAGAGCCTAAAGAGAGAGACCAGCTCCTTCACATCCTTTTCAACCTAATCAAGAGACCGGATGATGAGCAGAGGTGTGTGTATAGACAGGACAATGTGCAAATATCTTTTATTATACCAATTGACCCCATACCCAGAAATAATTTAGACCCAAAAACAAGGAGGCAAATTGAGTTTATCCAGCAGTGATTTCTAATATTTATTTACATTTGTGTATGTTTTCTAAGACAAATGATCTTGACGGGCTGTGTTGCGTTTGCGAGACACGTGGGTCCCACGCGGGTGGAGGCTGAGCTACTTCCTCAGTGCTGGGAACAGGTACGGTACAGCGCTGCAGTGGGCCTTTCTTAATGTGCTACCACTGAGTTTCATATATATATATTTTTCCGTTCATAAATTTATAGATACTGCATAATTTAAGAACTGTGTTGTCTTTTTTCCCTTTCTGAATTCCAAGTTGAATTTTAAATCCATGTATTAAGTGTTGAACTGTTGACAGATTTTGGATTATTCCGCATACAGTTTCCAATAAGTCTAAACATTCATACTTGTCATTTGTGATTTCTTTTATATGTGTTTTTTCCAGAGTTTAATGTGACACTATTTCCTCTTTCTGAGCCACAATTTCTTATGTATTTCTGTACAAAGAACAGGAGGATTAATATTAATTATTGCTATTTCTGTTGGTAATTTGTTTCACTTTGTCACTCATATAAAGAGATTTTACAATTCAGAGGTAAAATTCTGCTAAAAAACGCTAATTTCTAATTAAAATATAAACAATTTATACAAAGGAAATCTCAGCTGAGTGTCGATTTTAGTGAGAAGATTCATTCAGTGTTTAATTTTTTCCTCTGATTCCGAAAAGTCCTGTCATTACCTCCATGGTGTCCCTGACTTAAATGTGATAGCAGTTTTGTTTTCATTGCCACCTGTGTCATCGCATGCAACACAATTACGATCAACAAAATCTACTGCCATGGCAACGGCAGCTCCCAGCAGTTTGGAGGCTGAGAATCTGGGTAGAAAGACAAATAGCGGTTTCCACAGGGTCAGCATGTTGACGATTCTTGACTTGTTTCCATTCCATGGCGGCTGCACTCCCGTCTGCTTCTCCCTTCTTTTTAACTTCTGTTCCTCTATTTCTTTCAACATTTCCTTCTCTATATTTGTCCTCTGCAGATTAACCACAAATATCCAGAGAGGAGGTTGTTGGTGGCAGAGTCCTGTGGAGCCTTAGCACCTTACCTGCCTGTAAGAACGTATTGTGCACACAGAATTTAAAAACTATAATCGTCCATGAGTATACTGTAAATGAACAAAATCCAGATGAATTTTCTGTTTCTCTCTGTCTTGCTTTGTGTCTCTGCAGAAGGAGATTCGTAGCTCCCTGGTGTTGTCCATGTTGCAGCAGATGCTTGCTGAGGACAAGGCTGACATGGTCAGGGAGGCTGTGGTCAAGAGTCTGGGGATTATCATGGGTTACATAGATGACCCTGACAAGTACTCCCAGGTATGTGTATTTGGAGTGGAACATCAGGACTGTTTCTTTAAAACACCCTGTAGTTATCTGTCACTATTGCTGCAGGATTTTGCACCAGCCAAAACACTGGTTCTGTCTTATTCCAGGGTTTTGAGTTGATGCTGCTGTCTCTTGGGGACCCATCAGAGCGGGTGGTCAGTGCAGTCCACCAGGTCTTCATTCCTGCCTTTGCTGCCTGGACCACAGAGCTGGGCACTCTGCACACTTCACTTATCCCTTCTCTATTAGCGCGTATAGAGAAGCTACTTAATGTAAAGGACTTTTCATGCTCTTTAACCTCATTCATTTCAATGACTATGTTGGCGCCATGCATATAGTTACCATCTCGTCTTTTCATACTGCTTGCTACCTCTTTCTGTAGCAGGGAGAACACGGTCTGGATGAACACAAGCTCCACGTTTTCCTGTCAGCCCTTCAGTCTCTCATCCCTCCTCTGTTTGCCGTGGTGCTGCAGAATGCACCTTTCACCAGCAGAGCCAAACTCCACGGAGACATACCTGCAATAGAAGGTTGGATCACTATGCAATGATTTTATTTATTTATTTTTTAAATTCTTTAAGTAGCACATTAACTGAGTTTCTACTGTGGTTCCTGTACCTTTGGTCCTGCAGTGACCCGGTTCCCCAGGCCAGCTTCTCCTCTCCAGGATGTGGCAACTATCATCGGCAGCAGGGAGATGCTAAGTGCTCTACTGCTACTCTATGACCACCAGCTAGAGCATGAAGGAACCACTGGCTGGGACAGTCTGCTCTGGGTGGTCAACCAACTGTAAGAAATACGCACACACATACACACAAAGTGAGGTTTCCATTACTTCAGAGGACATTACTTTGGCTTATATTCATTTTTTCTAGAGACTTAAAATAACTTTAACCATAACCACTACTTCCCTAACCCTAAACCCAACCTTTCCCTTAACTTAAACCAAGTCTTCATACTAAAATTTGATGATTGATGCAATGAGGACTTCCCTAAAGGGAGTCCCTGTCCCCAGAAGGGAGGCAGGTCCTCACAGTGTGAGTGTGTAAACAGATGAAACAAATTTCTGTTCCCATAACATGAATAATACAAACACAAACACACTCTCTCACATACACACAGATACACATACTTAAAGACACATACATATTAACAGTTTACAATTTACTGAAGAAGATAAAGACATGTATGTGCCACGCAGTAATACTGATTTCCATCTGTCTGCTCTTCCTCCAGCCTGCCTCAGCTCATAGAGATTGTGGGTCGCATTAATGTGACATCATCAACCTGCGTACACGAGTTCTCACGCTTTTTCTGGCGGTTCTGTCGCACATTTGGAAAGATTTTCACCAACACTAAGGTAGGGGCTTGTTACAATGTAGTATTCCCCAAAGGATACCACAACGGTTTGGTCTTAATTGGTGCTCTTAACCCTCTGAACCCCATGCAGTTTCTAGCCGTTTTTGCTACAGTCACATTTTCACTCATTGTGGTCTCATTTTTCACTACAATGTAATGGCCCACACCTCTATGGAAGCAGCACCACCACTGCGAAGAGCAAATACAATTCCCAAATGTGTTTTGTGCAGTATAGCATAGTTATAAAGCCACAAATTATACAAAAGTAAAAATGGGAGCTCTACATACTATATATAATACTTTAATTTTTAATTTCTCTCCATCCATGTCTCCTATCTGTGTAAACACAACCTGTAGATCAGCACAGCTCTGCCAAAAATGCCTAAATTTGTCCGTCATAATTTTGCCAGTTTTGTTTTTCATTCAACATGCCTTTCAAACATACCTTTGGGTTTGCAAATGTAGAGCCTTAAACTTGAAGTAGTTTTCCTCACTTTAGCTTCTCCACCTGAATATGGACATATTTATTAACAATACTGAATTGTGTCTAAATATGAAGTGTCAAATTTGTACTACCTTGAAAAAAATAAATCCTGAAATCAAACAAAAATAAATGTATATCATATCATGTACACTATTACTTGCTTAAGACTTTATGATGCAGTGCTTTCACTTTTTCTCCTGTGATGGTAAATGTATAAATTATTGTTGTGCGTCACTATCAGTCAGTGATGCAAAATGATGAGTATTTGCGTGTAAAAAAATGTATGTACTTATAGCTCAGCAGTAATATAAAGGGGAAAATAAATGATTTTAAACACATGCATATTAGGGTTTAATTTCAGAGGCGGTCTTCTTGTTTATCTGGTCATTAAAGGTGTCTCTCAAAAATTCATGCGAGTTGGTTTAAAATAGTGTCTTACAGTAAATGTTAGTGAAATGTATAAAGGAAGTGATGGCATTTAATTTATCTTCATGACTTTTTCAGGTTAAACCACAGTTCCAAGAGATTCTCCGACTGTCTGAAGAAAATGTTGGTAAGGGCACTTTTGATGTAGTGTTGCCTGAAGTGTTTTAAGGTTTTCTCAGCCCTCTCTAGAGAATGTTGATAGGTGGAGTTCAGACACTGACACTGTTGATGTAAACAAGCTATTTGGAGTCACTTATGGGTGTTCCCCTTTTTCTTTTTTAAATTCCGGACATGTTTTTGTGATTATAAAGAGGTGCTTGGTCTCATCTGGCTGCCAAGTGATTTAGCTTTGGTATTGTGGCCATTTATGAAATGTGTTTTGTATTGAGACATAGTCGGTGTTGAGGTCATCGTGGCCCTTATATAGCCATTGTCCCTTTCAGTAGATTTTTGTAAAACCACAATAATATAATGTATGCCGAGCCCACACTGTTGCAGACATACTAATGTGCAGCACAGTATGTTAGACTGAAATGCCCCTCATCATGTCCTCTCTGTGTATTTTTTCTATTGCCCTGATTAATTAAGCGAGAAAAAACAAACAACATGCAGACAAATGAAAAACCAGTTTTTATATTTCCTATAAGAACAGATTTTTATGTCTATTCCTTTGACCTATTTTGTTCTTGCTTTATTCTTCTGCCAGATGCTTCAGCAGGGAACGGCATTCTCACCAAAGCCACAGTCCCCATCTATGCCACTGGAGTGCTGACATGTTATAACCAGGTAACTTAATAGCAGTTCAAGTAGTTGACTTTTGAGGAGTCAAGCCTTTTGATGTTTTTTTTTGTGCATCTTGCAGTACCTATCACAGTTAGTCATTAAAGTAATTTCCGTAATGCTGTAATTTATGGGTCCCATATTTTCCACATTTCCTAAACATTAGATTATATTAACCTGGAAATTATTAGATATTTTCATGAAAAGCCTGAGCAATTTAGTGATGTTTGTAGGGAAAGTGGAGACAGGGTAGCTGCTCTACTACCAGCTTGTTATGTTCAAGTTTTTTAAAGAAAAATCTAAGCAATTATGTATTAAGTAAGCAAAAAAATACTTCATAAACTGAATCCAATGTGCATCTGAGTTGGCTGGAAAGATTAATACAAATTTTCAATTTGTTTAGACAGAAAATTCATCACACACTCAGTTATTTTATAGATCTGATCTAATGGAAGTATGTGTGTAAGTATGGCTGTTAACTAAATGTTATTGCATGAGTCATGTTTTATTTGTGTTTCATTTAACACAAAACTTAGGAATCCAGCTGCACTGGAAACCAGTTAGCAGCTTAAAGGTCAATTCAAGAAATATGTACCAATCACTAAATGACTCTATAATGTAAGGCAACTTAAAATAAAGAATGAAGACTCGCACTACAGGATTTTTGGGAAACTCAGTTTCATTTAGTTTCTGAACTATTGTTAACTTTCTTACCACATCATTTCTGAGGGATTGTTTTTTTGAAGAACTGGAATTTGACTTATGTTTGCTTAAGTTGCTTTCTTAACTAACACTGTCTCGGTGTCCCTTATAAGTAGTACCAAACTGAATATGACATTCTTGAAAGTTTCCCTGTAATTATCAGCTAAATATCTGCAAACGTTTAGGAAATGATGAGGAACATTTAAAGGAAATGAGCTGTAGAAAACAGAACCCTGAAAGTACAGCATTGCCCTAAGTTTTTCTATATAGTTAAATGACATGCTAAGCAGTTTTTTGGACCCTTGTCCTCTCTTGTATATTGTAGTACGAAGAGTGTGTACCAAATTGTACTTTGGGTTATTGTCCATTGTCATGAGGGAAAATCCACTCCAAAATACATCAAGTTACCACATATTTTTGTTTTGATTTTAGGTTCACAAAATAATTCAGCAGTTGCAAAACACACTGGAGCACGGGAGTGCTGTATTTTGTGTTAACTTTCAACACAATGTGTCAACAAAAAATGCTTGGAGCAGTCCAACTCAACCCATGTTCAGAAATAACAAAAAAACACGTCCCACAGCTCACTGACTGAACAGCAAAAAATTGTGGATTTTGTTGATATTAAAATGCAAATGTGAATGTATATGTTATGCTGTTGTTTCTCTAAAGGAGGAGGATCGCAAGCTGTTGGTGGGTTTCCTGGAGGATGTTATGACAACCCTCTCTCTGTCCCATGCACCTCTCGACAGCCTGAAGGCCTCCTTTGTGGAGCTGGGGTGAGATACGCACACATAGATTTAATCTTTTTTGGCTTGTGGCGGAAGATATCCCCACGTTTAAAAATAGGCCTGACACGTTTTCTTTATGTATCGTGTGAATGAATTACCTCGCAGTGTGAAAGTTAGTTGATGGTCATCAGTTACCACAATATTTATGTTTTTTTCCTCTATTTCAGTGCCAACCCAGTCTACCATGAACTGCTGCTGACCGTTCTGTGGTACGGGGTGGTCCATACGTCCGCTCTGGTCCGGTGTACTGCAGCACGGATGTTTGAGGTACAAAGCAGACACACAAACACACGGATAGCGTATTGAATAAATCCCAGTTGTTTAGGTTTCTGCTAAAAATACAGCACTGTTGATACATTTGCTCTTTTGCAAAATGTAAGAATAAATGACTGACTCTTCTACTAAGTATATTCTTGTACAACTTATTGTAACAAACCTGCACAATTATAGACAACATGAACATCTGTTATTTCTTGTTTGTTGTGATTTTAGCTATTTTTGATACCCTATTAAAGCATCTTAAGTTTGTTATACGATGATTGTAAGCTGTTCTAAATGTAATTATAATTACTGATGTATTAAGGAAAAAGGAATTTGTGCAGTTATACATACTAGTACAGTCCTACTATATAGATACTATTTTCATGTTTACCTATTTGCTGTACATGTGCTAGCTCTGCTTGCTGTTGCCGCTGTTAAACATGCATTATAATATTAAGCTATTCTGTCTTTTGAATGTGAGTGAAGACTGCAGCTATAGCTTACTTGCCCACTGGTTCCAACTGTATGGCTAGACCCTCCTGGAGTTAACATCAGACCTTTCACTGTGCACTCGTCTCTGAAGTAATTACATAAATATCTGCTCCGCATCAGCTAAAGACTGCAGCCAGTGACCTGAAAGTACTGCATGGTCAAAGGAGTTGAAGGCCTGTTCATTTTCAGTATTGTTGGAAAGTATAATTTGATCAGAAATGTTTTCTCATGATTTTTTTTTTTTTTTTTTTTTACTGTTTTCACTATTTTAGCTCTTGTGGAAACATAATACTACTATTATTTTTTTTAAAGAAGACAAAAGCTTCTCTGTTTTCTTTCTTGCTGTTCTTTTCAACTGATTGTATCCATTTTAAGCCAAGTCAACAGTTCAGGCCAAATCCAGGAGAAACATGAGATGTGTGCACACTGTAGGTCAAATGTTAGGACGAGGCTCTAGGTATAGCACTGGAACATACGATGATCTATACCCGGGGGAGGAGGAGTGGTAGGCTGTATTCATGTCCCCTCTGTTCTGTGCAGTATTTGCCCTTCCCCAAAACACCTCACTGTCACCATTCCATAGTGTATAGCTGTCCACCATTGTCAAAACTGTGGATTGAAAGGTGGTCCTCTACCACAGATGCCAGATCAAATGAGCATTCTCTACTATTACATATGTTAAAAGTGACTGACATAATCTGATCTGGAGTATGTGGAAAGAGCCCACAGTTTCCTGCTCACCTTACTGTAACAGTACTTGTGCAGTTTAGCTATGTTGGCTTCGCCATGTCTTCTGCATACCTGCGAGTGCATGAGTGTGTGTTTGTGTGCGTGACTGTGTGTGTGCACACACTTGCTTGATACATGCAGTGCCGCTCCGTGCCTTGCAGCTATGGTTCTTGTCATTGTATATCACTTTCTTCCTATCTTTTTGTGTTTTTTTTTTTTTTCTTTTTCCCTTCCCTCTTTGTTTTGCTTTTTTTTTTTCTTTTCTTTTCTCTCTATCTATTGGCGGTGTTGCTCGCTCTTGTCCCAATGCCCCGCCCACCTCTGTGACATCACGGCTGGCTCTGTCCAATCCGATCAGCTGCTGGTGAAGGGGGTGAATGAGACGCTGGTAGCTCAGAGAGTGGTGCCGGCTCTCATCACACTGTCCTCCGACCCTGAAATGTAAGTGGAACAACAACAACAACAACAACAACAACAGTAAACCGCGCCGCGTCTCTCTCCCCCTTCTCTTTGCCGCCTAAGAACTATCACACTAGTCTGTACCTGCCAGGAGCAAATTCAAGGCATTGCAAATTTAGCACAAAACAAACTGTTACGACCATATCATAGACTTTGATCTCGATTTATTTCATTTAAATTTCAGGTTCTCATATTGATTGACTAAGATATTTGTCTGTCATCTACAGTGGTATCTAAATGTTTTAGTAGTTTGGAGTGGCTCCTGCGTAGGTTTAGGCTGTGCTATGGGGTGGTTCTTCAGCACAGCCCCTGTTAACACTAACATTGTGCATGTCGGCATCATCAACCTGCAACACTAACTCATGCCAGCTCTCATCGCCTCATCAGTCCACAACACTAACCAGTCCTCTGCCAGACTGGTGCGTGTACATCGTCTACATGTGACAACAATCCCAGCATGCTCATCTGTAAACCGTCCCTCCCTCCCTCCTCCTCCTCCTCCTCTTCCTCCCTACCCCACTTCGTTGAAGCAGGGCCGATCCTCCTGGCTGACTCGCCTACTAGTGATTTATTATCACCCCGTCTTTCTCAGTTTATCCTGTCACTCTTTTTTTTTTCTCTATCTCTCCTATATTTTCACTTCTGTCTCTACCTCTTTCTGTCACCTCTCTCTCTCTGTGCTCCCTCTTTGATTTCCCTCTCTCCTCCTGTCTCTGTCCCCTCCCACCATGCCTCTCCCTCTCTCTCATCCTGCTGTGTGATGGGTTTGCAGTTGGTTCTCCGAGGCATGAGTGAGGCATTAGTAGATCGCCGGGCGGCTCCAGCCCTTATAACTCTGTGCAGTGGGCCTGAATTGTGAGTCAATCGACACAAGAAAACCTCTCTGTAAACATTGTCATTTTGTGGGCTGCATCCTTACAGTGTAAAACATTGTCTTTCTATAAATCTGTCTCGCTGAGCTTCAATGGACACTTAGAGAACTTTGATGTGATGCCAGAACCGTACGTCTTAATATTTGGCTGATGTGGCAGCTTCTTTAACAGCCACAAAATTTCAGTGGAAGAGGACTTAAGAGTCTAAAGTCACTGGCCTTTCTTCTTCCATTGTGTCTTGAGCATACGCTGATATAAAGCCAGTGAGCCACAGTAACTGGATGATTACTTAAATCTAATCTCGTTCAGTTCTTTGTCTTTTCGTATAAACAAAGGACAATCTTCGTAGCCATCTCTTGACAGTAGTTCAAAGCATTTTTGGCTTAGATGTCTGTGATGAGACACAATGGTGAAATTTGTGGCATCACTGTTGGAATGTAGCCCTTTTCATCTTATCATTCTCTGTATTCAGATACAAAAGTTAAGGGGTACATATACTTGTCCCCAACTTGAACACTAAACACGTATATATATATATTTAATTTTGATGTATGTTTCTAGTTTTTTGTAACCTTTAAATTTGATATCCCTCACGTATCTTGCTGTGTCTAAAATCAGCAAAGTTTTTACTCCAACAATCCTTCGTTGGCCCATGTATGTCTTTTGAGCTTTCCTGGTCCTACTGACAGCGGAATGATTATCTAATATCGCTCTAACAACACCCCATTAACCTTGCCTAATGCAGTTCATTTCAATCATTGATTATTGTGAGTTGTTTTTATTATCAGATTTGTATTTTTATAACAGATTTGGAGTTAGGCAATCCTTTCTAGTGAGCCCATTGTCTATGCATTGTAGCTTTTAATTTTTAGTCAGCTCAAGAGTGGTAAATATTTAATATGAAGTGTTAGTTATAAAATGGCACACATTGATTTAGATTGAACATGTCAAATTGGGTCAAATATTATTTACAAATTGTTGTTGTTTTTGTGTTAGAATCTAAGAAAATTGGTTCTAATTTCCATCTTTATATCCTTTGTGGGTCATGGTCTCCCAGATATGTGGCAGTCACTGTCCTAAATCGATCACTAGTGATCAAATGGTCACCACTGTAATGGACCAGTCAGAAATAAACTCACTTGGTCAGCAAAGCAGTGTCAGTAAAATACTGTTGGCATTGATAGGTCCTGCAGCACTGACAGTTAATTTTGTCTGAATTTCACTGCCTCTGGTCATGTAATAGGTCTAAATTGGCCGTACAGTAAGCACTTCTGTTGTAACTGTGGTTAGCAGCATGTCATTACTATATAATTACTATATTTGGACCAAACCTACACAACGTGTTAACCAAAATAGTCCAATTTCTTTGTGGTTTTTGTATAAATGCTATACTAGATGTGCCACTGTAATAGAAAATCTGTACAAATATGTAATTTAAGTCAATATTGGAATCCGTTAGCTGCAATGCTTAAAAAATCTAAAACTGGTCCAGGAAACCTGAATGGTGCTTCCCTACTGAACACATACCCAAAGCCATCTGAGTTGCTTTGATGTGGTTTAAATGGAACAATCTGGAAAATCACACATTTTGAAATATATCAGATAACAATTTGCAGATAATGTTTGACTCATTCTGATTGTGGCGTGAAGACACGCTACTGGAAAAATTCAGGAATTCTTCAAACAGTGATGCGGTGACTACGAATGGTCAAAGCATTGTCTTGCTTTCCTGCTGTTTTTAGCTCAGTGAGGATATCCACTATTCCTGCCTTTGGTACCATCATGGAGACCGTCACACAAAAAGAGGTAGGAGTTTAACTGGAAAACTGCTCACTTGCCTAATATGCAGATGATGAATCAATCAGTATAAAGCATTTGAAAATACTTTGCTTGTGTGTGTGTGTGTTTAGCTGCTGGAGCGTGTTAAGATGCAGCTGGCATCATTCCTGGAAGACCCTCAGTACCAGGATCAGCACTCTTTGCACATGGAGATCATCAGGACGTTTGGGAGGGTTGGACCGAACGCAGAGCCACGCTTCAGAGACGAGTGTATGGAAAACACACACAAATGCAATAAAAAATACTGAATCATGTTTCCTTTTTGTCTAACTCTGTGCACTTAACCTTGTTGTTTGTATTTGTAGTCGTGCTGCCACACCTTCACAAGCTCGCGTTGGCTAACAACAGCCAGGCAACGGAGAGCAAGAGGATTGACATTGCCACCCAGCTGTTCGAGGCCTACAGCGCCCTCTCCTGCTGCTGTATCCTTCCATAGGTCGTGGTTTGTGTAAATTGGGCCGTATGCAGGACGGCCTGGATTTATATTCTTGATAGCGACTTTTGTTTGTAGTCTTAATCGTGACTTTATATATATTTGTATTAGAAAACTTAAGAGGAAACATTTATAGTCCACTTATTGTAAGAGGTCACCACACTCATACTTTTATATCTGCTCTTATGTATTTCCAAAGGATTTACTAGAAGTCTGTGTCAAGGTTGGCTACAGTTCAGGGTTAGCTGTCATAACACTGAGTCAGTGGGAAGACCAATTGAATAACCGGTCAAACGCTAGCTACACCGGTCAGATGTGCTTCTGAATGCGCCTGTAACTGTGTGCTGGTACGTATCAGCGCAGCCCCGGTGCCTGAGTGTATGGTTCACTGTGTGCGTTGGCAGAGTTTGCCTGTCATTTGGCAGGAGGAGAAAGGAAAAATAAGCTGCCTCCATTTTGGGGCTAGAGGTAATTACAGGGTTGGTTAAGCAAAGGAAAGGATGAGAGAGGGAGAAAGCGTGTGAGAGGAGGAAAGGACTGAACATCAAGTCCAATCCTTAGGAACACTTCCCAGGACAAGACTCACGTTTACATTAACTCTGCTCCTTCTCTACCGTCCTTCTCCTCTGTGATTCTTTCCCCCCCTCTTACCATTTCTCACCCTTTTTTTTTTTTTCTTCTCTGCTTCGTCCTTCCTCCGTCAACGCTACCCCACCCAGGTCCAACTCACGTACACACAGACAGAGGACAGCTGGTTTGAGGTTCATTCCTGTGGATTTTTGTCAGGCTGTGATTTCACAGTGCAGTAGTGTCCAGGAGGTATAGCCCTAACCTCAGAGGCTTCGCCTCCCACTGCACTTCTTTCTCTTGTAATCAGTGTGACAAGCTCTGAAACTGTACGCTCCCATCTCCAAAAATATAGATTTGTTCGCCACTTGTGCCATATAGCTCCACTGGACTTGACAGGTGGCAGAACACATGCAGTCCTGGACTTTGCCTAAAATTTCAGCTTGTCTCAACCTATTTTGGTGGCAGATGGGTGGAGTGGAGCTTTCGACAGCACAGTAATGAAGAACATTTTTAAAATCAAAGGAAAATATTTGAAATTCAGTTGTGGTTTATTTTGTTCATTTTTTTAATCACTGACAGGTTTCTGTAATTTTTTTGAATTCTCCTGAAGTAAACCCCTCCCGTCTGCTCATTCCTGGAAGCCCCATCCAAACAGTAATAGTGACTGTCTGACCTTGGAAACAACAGTTCCTTAGTTAACATGTCTATATGTGTAGCAAGAAAAACAGGAAAGTCTGACTAGATAAATATTTTTTTTTTTTACATGAGGTTGAGGGTTGTTACAATTTACAAAATGCATTTTCTATGAAAACACTTTTGTTACAGTGTCCATCAACAGTTTAAAAAAAATGCCCTTTTCAGTTACAGATAGTTTGTTTGTGCTGTCTTTTTACTTACATTTTAAATATCCTGTGGCTTTAACCCACTGAACACCAAGCAGCTTCTGGGTGTTTTTAACTCCTGACACTGCAACATGAAGTCCTGAACCTCTATGAAAACAGTACAACCATGATCAGAAGTAGATTGAACTCAGAAATGTCTTCTGTGCAGTATGACATATTTATCATGCCAACAATTATTTCTTTTAAATGAAACTTGAACTTGCAATTCTGATTACAATACTTTTCAGACTGTCATGGTCACAGCCAAGTCACTATTGGCTCCATGGTTGCAGTAAGGATTTTATTTTTTTTTTAGTTTTTCTTTTACAAAACCTGGTGCAAGCAGTTTATTCTGAGTGAATCTTTAAATGAGAATTGTCGAGTGATTTTGATCATATTTCACAATTTTAAGCTTGGATTTGCTTATATTTGGGACAAAATTGCACATCACATGTGAGTATTTTAAAGAAAATTCTTTCTGATTTTACAGTTGTTTTTTTTTTTTTTTAGATTTGTGCATTGGAGCTTGGATTATAACATCCTGGGATCTTGATTTCTTGATTGAACATTAATGCACTTACTCATGGTGCCTTTGTTCTTGTGTTTCGGCGCACTAGTTTTAAAAAAAATTCCTACCCTTAACTTCCTGTGCAGTCATTTCCGAGGAGGTGATGGTCAACCATTTCCTGCCTGGCCTCAGGTGTCTGCGCGCCGACATGGAGCAGCTCTCTCCCGAGCACGAGGTCGGGAGACACACAAACACTCATACATTACAGGGGGATTTCATGTTTTTATCAGACACCGGCTCTGGCACTGCACATTCATTCATAAAAGCAAGTGCATTATCTCATCTGCGTGCTCATGCTCTGATGGCCCAGACTGCTACTCCCATGGAATTCCACGCAGTGAAGACAATAAAGGCAGACAGTGTGACTCTTTACCTCTTTCTCAGATACACTCATAGACACACACCTACCATATTTATTTGTGTCTCAGAATCTCACGCGATGCATTTCATGTGAGCATTTTCCCAAGGTGACTAACGATCAGCAGACTAGTTTCCACTCTGCACATCCACTCTGTCTGTTCTAAGGCTTTTATTCATATTTTAAAACATAAAAAATACATACAAAGTCTTTATTGTGTCATGTTGGTGACACCTGCGTCGTACCACTCCAGTACATTTGAACACGCTGTTAACACACCAGCTAAATCTGTTTCTGTCTTTCACAGGTTATTCTAAGTTCCATGATCAAAGAGTGTGAAATCAAGGTGGAAAACAGAGGAATGTCAGACGCACAAGGGTGAGAACCATCACACAGTCACATTAACATCATCCATTCTTGTGAAAGAAAAATATTGGTTGTTATTGCGTGAGATGGCTACGTGAGCGACGGCAGTCTGAAGTGTTCCTACTGTGTGGAAAGGGGTCACTGAACAGTTCTGGGACTCGGCCTGTATTGTGGGTTTATTCCCCACGAGGAGAGCATATAAGAGTGTTGGAACCACACTCATTATGTGGGTATCTTCACAGAGAGAGAAAGGAGAAAATGAGTTGTTTTGTTAAAGCTAAGAAAGCTGGGACACCGGCCATGTTGCTTTTAAGAGATGTTTCTCCCATCTTGTTAATGCCTCTTTGGCGCTTAATAAAAAGAAAAGTATGTGCATATGGATATTAAAAAAATGTGTCCATGTGCTTAGTTTTGGGTGTGTGTCCCTCCCAAGCCTCCAGAGAAGCTCTGATGTTATAATTTTTGTGCTCAGAGATTTCAGTTCCTCTTTCATTTTCAAGTCTGTATTCAATTTCTCTCTCTCTGTAATTGATGACTTGGTTCATTATTTTCGCCAACATGCATCTTTAACGAACTTCCTTGGCATGCGGTATCGAAACCATGACATTTTCTGCTTAACAGTAGCTTAGTGAATTCCCTGTCAAAAAGACTTTCTAAAGTAGTATCCCACAACATAGGTGGTTCTACCTACTGTATGTATCACTGAGATCTGATGGTAGAAGTCTCCATACTCACGTGCTTCTTAAGGCTTAGGAAGCTTTCTTTGGAAATGCATAAAAAATCATTTGGTTCACAGGAAGACTGTGGCCTTCCACTGTAAGACATGAGTCATTTTGATAACAAATTCTTGAGTTGTTGTCAAATACCAGTGTAGATCTGGAAGCCATGTGCTACTTTTTAACCAGTCAACCGAGTCTGAACTTCCTACAGTACATTCGTTGACTCTCGTGTGCTGTTAAGATTTAACGTCCGTCCCTCTGTTGAGCAATGCAGCAGCTTGGCAGAGAGCTGTAACTTCTCCACAATATCAGCCTGAATCCCAGCTAACTCAAAAGAGGAACTTGTGAAGCCGTTAGACTGTAAAAATCAGGAGGGGCTGTATTGCCAAACAGCATTCTCTCCCTAAAGAAGTAGAGTAAAGGCTGAAGTGAGGTCACATCATTGAAGATTGTGTAGGTTGGTGGCCGCTGTTGTGATTTTGTTTTTGTTTTTCTCAGAAAATATGACCAAAAAAAGTTTGACATTGCGTCACGTTCTGCGATTTCTGCCCCCTTTTTTTGTCCATAGCTCGATGTCCATTGCATCCAGTTTGGTGGGTGAGGATGCCAAGACCAAGTTCCTGAGTAAGATGGGTCAGCTGACCACCTCTGGCGCTATGTTGGCCAACGTCTTCCAGAGAAAGAAGTAACCGCAAAACTGACCGATCGCAATTAACTGACGAACCCCTGTGGTCTTTGGGAGCATTTCATTTTGCTGGAAAAAGCATCGGGTCGGCTTAAAGTAGGAGAAAGTGTATAGTTTGATCAATTTGAAGGAATGAGGGTTTGCTGAAAGTTGTGTCGATTTCAAATCTTCAGAGCAGCAGGACTACCTGCTACTTAAAGGTGAACAGCAATGGGGTTTTTTTCGTTTGATTTTTTACAGTGAAGGCTTCTGAGGTTTTTCCCCTCTGCTCATTTTTCCTCTCCTTAATTCTTAATCATGACGAAAGCATTGTCAAGGGATCTGCTTTTACGAGTCAATGTAAAACGTTGTAATTTCAGACAGAGAGGAGAGAGAGAGAGGGGAACAAAACTGAACAGTGTCATCCAACGCGACGGCAAGGAATTTGTTACCTGGACATTTCTGGACTTGAAAGTACCACAAGAATTTGATTTTCAGAAGAGCTTCATTCATCTTGTAGGAGACGAAAAACTTGCGCTGGATTTCCTGTAGAATTTTAACGGGCACCATTTTGGATGAAAAGGTTCCACAGCATTTGCATTAACTTGCAAATGAAATTACACTGAAGGTTTGAACCACAAAATGGCAGCGCATCTGTTCGGAATGCCTTGTACGGCGCGTCTGTACGGCTCAGAAGTATCGCCTACTTGAAACTATAAAAAAATTGTCTTGCCTTTATTTCTTCAAAGTCTGTCTCTGGTTTTTGTTTTGATAGCGTCTATTTTATAACTTATTTATGTCTTAATGAAGGAAAAGAAACATACTTTATTCCAACTTCCAAAGAAATTTGCACTTCACTTTAATGTTTTGTTCTTTATTATATATATTTTTTTGTTTTAATTCAGAGTCTTATACATAAAGATTATCACTACTGTTAATGAGGACGTGTTTTTTTGTTGTTGTTTATGTTTTGGCAATGTGAAGTTGAAGAGAACACTGATCATAATTATTCCTTCTCTGTCCGTTGCATCTTGTCTCTCAGTGTTGCAGTGTCTCTGATAATTGTACTTATTTTTTTTTTCTAAAGTGGGTATTTGGTTATATTTTTTCGTTGTTGTTCTTTTTGGATATGCTCTAAGAGAAACAGTAAATAACTGTATCATACACTGAACTGAAGGGGATGGTACTCATTATGTATATTTGAAATTCGTGTCCTGGTGTAATAAAAGATGGAGGTCAGTTGTGTACTTGAACGTGCTTTTGGACTTTTTTCGCCACGAGTAATGAACAGAACAGCTACACTTTGGCTAGCGGTTCAAAGTGTCGACAGGTGTTGAAGGCTGTAAAACAAAGTCATTTCACTGAAAAACACACACTCCTACTGTCTCCCTTTGATGTGCGGCATGTTCCGCTTAGTGCAACAAACCAAAGTCCATCTTATGGGGCATTCCCAACAACTTAACCCCCCAAAAAATGCAGTAATAAAACCTCTGATCCGCCGTCCAGATTACACTAGCTCTCAATCTGTGCTGTTGTTCAAAAAATTATGACCCACTATTCATAACGTAGTAAACTTGAATGATCCACACTGTGTGCACCTCTCTATAGGAATTTAAACAGAGCAGTTAATCTTGCAAACAGGGTTTTGACTGACGTGTAGAGGAATCGGTTACATTGATTTGTGTTGAAAATGGAAAAAAAAAAAGGTCATGCGCGCCTGTTGAGCCGGCCTTATTTAGCGATTGAATATAGTGCGAGTTAGCCAACACTGATAAAGAAGAGTATTTGCATAATTCGGCTAATGTTCAACCACTTTCGCTGATAACCGACCAGGTGGACAAATAATTGATTCATGCTGAAGAGGGGCACAGCTTGTGTGTGTTGTCCCATTCCTTTATGGGCGTGCCTGTGTGTTACTGTGTCTAAAGATATGTGCATGCAGAGACAGATGCCTGATACGTGTGAACTGCATTTAGGGTATATGCAAGTATAAGCAAGTAGATGAACCTGTATTTCAGTAGGTGCATGTGAGTATTCATAAAATCCTTTTTTTTTTTTTTGTTTGCAAGTCAAAATGCCATCAGCCGGGAGCTCTTACTCACATTGGTGCCTCGGGTGACTCACAGATCACATCTGTTTCCAAAGCGAGCAGAAGTAATGCAGATCCAATCCTAAAACCACCGGAACATGGTGGCTAAGATTTAAAGTTATTATTCCGCTCTGTTCTGTATGTATGTGAGCGCCATGTGCATGTTTTTTTTGAGCCCAGTGCACTTTTCACTGTGTTCAAGGGAGACCATGCATAACCCTTGAAGCTTCCTCCAAGATCTCGGTTCCAAAACAGGCTGCGGCTGTTTTGTTCTATGGAATGAATGTGTGTTGCATTAATTGAAACCATTCAGCGGCTTATGGCGTGTGTGTGTGTGTGCATTTTTGTGTATCTGAGCTGAAAATAGGCCTACTTCATGAACTTTGACTTGTTGTATGTGATGCTAAGCAACACAACCCACATACTTGCAGAGTTACACAGTTTGTGCTCTGACCCTGGTCATTAGAGGTGTAATGCTTGTAAAGCAGCGTGGTGTTTGCCTGCTGTGGCTCCATTTTTATACATCAAAACGAGCTGCATTGTAGCTCCGTTTGAAGCGAGGCCTAACAGTGACTTCCCTCTGCTTGCTGGTTAACGTTTACTGTTTAGGGGGAGCTGACCTGGTATGATTTTTTTCGGGGGGGGGTGCATTCACAGTCAAGCTGAGGTTTTTGATTGCTAAAAGAGTCAAATCTTAATTGCTACTGTGCAAGCTGCACAGGCCCCACCACAAAACGGCTTTTCTCAGCATGTTTTTTTTTACAGGAAAAGGGGGAGAGGGAGGACAGGGCCCCATTACCTTGACTGGCTCAGCTTAAAACCCTCAGTATGATTCCTCTACTCCTGAAGAGTTAGCAAGCTCTTATATTGAATTTTAGACTTAACATGTTGAACAATTTCTGTACACGTAGATCAGTATGCAACAATGAGTGCTGCACACCCACAAACAGATGAGTAATTCTTCTAAAGTAGTCACATTTGTGTCTCTTTTTTTGTTCATCATCAAGAAGACAGCTTCATTTCATTGCATGTTTTTCCCTCTTTCCCTCTCCTCTGTCTTTCATCCACAGCGTGCACATTCAATTTAATATTTGCATAACTGTCACCTTGAAGAGAACATGTTCCCCCCCTCTCTCCAACCTTCCCTCTCTTGACATGCCAAGGTGGGCTTGGTCTAATCTGTCATGCAAATCCAGAGGAAAATACAGCCCAGTGGGTTTTCTCATTCTTTTCCCGAGGGTTGAGGAACAGCTGCAGTATTTCCTGGAGGCAGTCACTGTGCTTTGAAAATAAATGACTTTTGTAGAGTGGAGAGATGGTCATGGCTGCTCCCTGGGCCCACGCTCCAGGAACTGTGCTGGATCCCGGCCTACTCACTGCCACGATGAATGGCTCATGTGGGAAGTGAAATCTATGAAAGTGACCACATGCTTTGCCTCCACTGGTATCTGAACTCATCTCTGGCATGAGGTCAGAACTCAGCCTGTCTGACTAATGACACAAAAACTGCCAATTAGCAAACTGTCTGTCAAAAATAAGTTGGGCAGGTACATCTAAACAGATAAGAATTACAGAAACGTGGTGTCTCCAATGAAGTGGTCACCTTACTGTGCATCACTGATAACACCCAGGCACACTGAATGTCACATATCTATGCACCATTTTTTTTTCAGAAAGACAAGAGATCAGCGCATCAGAGAGATCAGGAGGGCTGAGAGTGGGATGAACTTTTTTCGCTTTACATATGACAACGTGGGAGGAGTTCCCTCCCTCCCTCACTCGGTCGCTTAGTTTTTACAAGCTGTTGCATGTTGCTGCCTTCACAACGCGTGGGTGAAAGCAGAAGGAAGATGAGAGGAGAGGAGAGATGGGAACTGCAGCTGCCTAACGGGGAATGAAGGCGCAAGAATGCCCTGTGAGATGCGTGGAGGCTCTACCACATTTACGCACGCAAGAAGAAGAAGAAGAAGAAGTGATTTGCTGTGAGGACATTTAAAGAAGCGTCCGGGGAATTTAGCATTTTGTTGCATTCCGTTGGCTAAGACAGAAAAAGTTTGCCTCCAGAAGTAGTTTTTCATAAATCAGCAGAGATGAGATTGAACTTTTCTACAAGCTGGATATTCCGGGGCTGGATAACGTGCGTCCTCGTCACCTTTTACGCACAGGTAAACAGGCTTTTGCAGTTATTAATGAGAGTTTACCTTTTAATAACAATGTTACATGTCACCTTATGTATGTTCTGTCTTTTGTGCGCAACATCTTAGGGACTGTAGAGTTTCATTCATGTGAGCCAACGCAGAATGCTGAGATTCAAGCTGGTTTATTTGTCCAAAGACGAAAAATTCAGAATATGTGTCATCACATCAGATGATTTTCACGAATTGGTCAGACGGGGAAGGGAGGAGGGGGTTGGGTTCTTCTTTTTACGCACGGACACTAACTGGAATCAGTTGTATTTGGGTCGAGTCCACCTCTCCCCTGTTCTGACCACAAAAACGCCGCTGGCAACTGCATGTTCTTCTCCCTCCACCAAGCATCCTCTCCCGGTCCAAAGAGGACTGACGTGGGCCAGATGGCTCATCAGGAACCTCATTACGTCCAACAGAGACGATGTTTTCAAATGCGCGGTGCTAGGACCAGAAAAGGCCACACTAAAGCTAATTAAAAAGAATTTATTTCCTTTGAATTAGGGCTGTAGGAATGTTTCTGAGCCGCTATGACCATAAGATTGTAGGGAGTGATCCTACATCTCGCGGTAGGCACAAACTAAAGAACTCCAATCAATTATAGTTTTGACATGTTGATATAAAAATGACATAATGTCTCAGCTGATCCACCACCACAGTTCAAACTGAAGGGAAAAGTTACCAGGCCATGACATGTTGTTGTCCATGTTGTTGTTTAGTCCAAGCAGCTAACGCTGTCCAGGTGGAGCAGTTTATAAGATGTGGTTGTAGTGGTGGGACTGCTGGGCACCAGTGATCTATCACTGCCTGCATGCCTGTATTACCGTAAGCCAGCATCGTTATGACTTTGACTGGAACAGACTCAGTTTTTTTTTCTTCTTCCCTGAAATGTGTTGCAAGAGGGAATGCTTGAGAGAACGCTGCATCTTATTCATGCAGGATCCACAGAAACGCAGAAGAAAAATGTTTTTTTTCCACATCATGTCAGATGCAGGTCACAGTTTTTCAAACAGCAGATCCGAATAAGCCAAGGCAGATACGATGCCTGGAAAAGGAATCAGTATGTAGACGGGGAAAAATACTTTTCATCTACGTTTTAAGGTGACACTGCAAACCTTTGGCTTTGGTTTATTCTCATCATGGTCTTGCCATTACTGACTCATACTATTCCCAAAAAATTCCCCTTCATTTTCTTGGTTTTCAACCGCTTCATCCAATCAATTCTAACTTCATCTCTAACTGTCTGTATGGCATTGAGCAATGCACGATTGCTTCAAGATGTTCTGAGCTTAAAAGTCAGTATATCATGAATAAACTGTGCTTTGGTCGATTCATATCCTTGCCTACTTACAATCATTGCTCCTGTGCTTTTTGTTTACCAGCTCTTCCTGCATTCATCCCTGCATGTTCGCATTCATCCATCGGCCTCTCTTTCTTCTTCCAACTCTAGCTCGGTCCTCACGCCTTTCATTTACTTCTCAATCAACACCCCTTTTTTTCCCACTTCAGTCATTTGCTTCATCATGTTTGCTTTTCTAACCTTTTGCAGATTCATCCATCCATGTACCGTCCAACAATAGTCACTGTTATGTCTATCTCAGCTTGAGCAAGCATTGCATTGCTTCAGACCTGCAGATCCAAACTTGAATAAACTTTGGAGTCAGCCGACATATTCAATTGATAGATAATGCAACTCTTGTGATCACAAAAGAACTTTGTGTGGAAGGATGTGGAGCAATTATAATTCACTTTTTGGATGACACTAACACACCTACATGAACCTCTGTCAAGTTCATTCAAAAATGTTTTTGAATAAAGCTCAGGCTGTAGTTATTAAGGACCATGTTCCAGTTGTGTATCTGTAATAGCCTATGTTCATTTTGAGGAGCTCACAGATTGTTACCACCTCTGACCAGCTCTTCCTCTTCTTCTAAAAAAAAAAAAAAAAAGCCACTATTTCTGCTTCACTTCTAAAATTCATTCATTCCTGTGCAGCAGAGGAAAAACCCACAGTGCTGTCACTCGAAAGCACTTTTTTTTTCCTGACTGGGTTGCAAGAAAATCACTACTTTTCACATGCAAACTCTGTTTTGATTATTACTTGGACATAATACTACACTAAGGCCCCTCGATGCTCATATGGTTTCAACATTTTAAATGTACTAATTTGGAGAATGAGTATTTTAATGTCCTGATTTGTGCAGGTGGCATTTCAGAGGATTTGTTTTTTATGGCTTTGACCAAATTGGCCACAGGTGCAAACATACAAAGATTCAGTTGTTGCACAGTACACTTTTACAGCACCTTATCGTGGATCACTAAAACCCCTAGAGGCCAAAAAGTCGCACAGTGCCTCTCTTGGCTTCGTGCCCGTGGGCTGCTGTGGCCGTTATGCAAATTCTCTCGTCCTCTGAAAGCAAATGGAATGCACTGTGCGTCACAGTGATGTTTGATAGGATCACGCAAGTGGTGAAGGATTTTTAAAAGATAAACAAGACAGCTGGAAAAGGATTAGAAAAAATGGGAGGAGAGTTGGGTGGGGGGTGTAATGCCTCTTTGTTCTTCTTCTTCACTCACGCAGGCCATCCGTTTGACTATTTTCTCTTTTCACTCCCTTCTCTTCTTTTTTTTTTTTCTTTTTACAATTTCTGTATTCATAACTGTATATTTGAGCACATCCGACAGATAAAGTTAGCCTTGAGGTTGGATGCTCCATCCTATAACCTATAATCTTATAGGGTGGATCAGCTGTTTTTCTTTTACATATATATTTAGTGAGTCAAAACTCATTGCCTCACATAACTGAGACCCAATGTTTAGATGTGGTGGTCACAAAAATACAATTCCCAGCATTCCTTTGGCTTCTCGTGCACAATGGTCTCGCTGTGCAGATTGAAAACCATCATCTATGTATCTATCTATCTATCTATCTATCTATCTATCTATCTATCTATCTATCTATCTATCTATCTATCTATCTATCTATCTATCTATGTATCTATCTATCTATCTATCTATCTGCACAAAGCATGGGAATCTTTCTTACTTCTATCACTTCTGTCTCCAGCGGCACCTGGTCCTCATTACTGCTGCGGTCCGAGCTATGAGCGCTGTGCATCATTATCCCTCTGGTTAGATTCTAAAACAAAGACTGGCTGATGTGTGAGTCTGAGTGGAGGTAATTAAATGCTCGCCAGCGTTCACGTTGCGCTGTCGTTGCCCGAGGCCCGACCGACCGACCGACACTGAGACTAAACAGACTCGAACACGAAGGTGTGAGAAAGAGCGGGAAAGAATTACTTGGAAGAGGAGGAGGAGAGGGTGTGAAAGTCAGGGTTAGAGCCTGCTATTTATTTATTTCTTGATTCAAACTGATGTTGTTGTGTATCTTGAAGAAGATTATTTTTATGTGAAGAACAACAGGAATTCAGAAACTAATGGTGATCATCTGCATATAGGAAGAATTGTAAAAATAATTACCGCATGACATTTTCAGCAGTGTGATGTATAAATATGATGCTTAATGTAGGATTTAATTGCAGGATATATAAAGTTCAGACATAGTTGAGGTGAATAGCATGACCATGACTATGAGGCTGTTGTGCATTACAGACAGACAGATGGGGGGAAAAAAAAGATAACCGGTGAGGCTGAGTCTGATGACGGGCAGACAAATTCAGATCTGCTTCTTGGAGATAGCGTTTTCACATTTCACTCAACTCAACCTCAGCGTTTCTTTATTGCTCAAATGACATTAAGAATGACTGAAATGGTGTATAATTTCATGGGAAAGAAGAAACGCTCAAAAAAGGGCTGAATGAGAAAAAATAAAGGCGGTTGTTTCGAGGTCATAGTGCAGCCAGGCCTATAGGTTGTGTTTTTCTACATTTATATAAAGACATTGTGGCTTTGGCATAGTTTCTGTCATAACAGCCAGATTCTCTAATTCAGCAGTGCGGCCAAAGGCTCACCAGCCCCTAATTTAGGGTGGCTGGAGGGCGTGTACAGTATGTATGTATATGTGAGCCTGCATCACTTACCTTTGCAGCCTTTTAAATAGAGTTCCCCCTGTTATTTTGTATAACATGTACAGATGTTTCACTGTTCACTTCCATATTATTTGAAACAAGAGCTCAGCTAAAGTTGCCACTGCAATATGCCACATTTAAACGTTTTAGACATTTCGTTTAGCGCACACTAGTGGGGACCAGGAGAATCTTAGACTAATTCCAAGCCAGCAAGAGTTGTTTTTTATTTAAGTCCCTTATGCAACTGGGATTGGAGTTTGGTTTGCTGGTTTGAAGACGATATGGTGCTGTGGTCAGGTGCTTCTGAGAGAGTGGAAAGAATTCCTGGGCAGGTCTTGGAAATCTTTTAGCCATCCTCTTCCTCTCATTACTCACAGCCATCTCAAAATATCATGTGTGGATTTGAAAGATGAGCTGAAGAAAGAGAGAGAGATGCCCATGGGAATGGATGGCATGTGTGTTTTTGATAACGTAGATCCAGATTTTTTTGTTTTGGTCGACTTTAGAAGAGACAGTTACTCTCTTGCGAACTGTTTTTGACATCAGTGGAAAATGTGCACAAAACAACAGAAAACTAAACGGATGTCTTGATATTTCTTAGAATGCTGTCTCCAAATCCAATCCATGTGATGAAACACATTACTTCAGAGGCTCCAAATGCTGCAACAGGTGTGGACCAGGTAATAACACACACACACACGGACACACACACACACGCACACAAGAGTATAGAAGTAAAACACAAGAGAGTAGCGTGAGCATGTCACATATCTGGTTTACTCACTGGAATCATCATAAAACAAAAATAGATTTCCATTCACAAAGATTCCAAATTTAAAGAGGAAGGATGTTTTAAAAGCAGAACATTTTGGCTTAAAGTGGCTCAGACGTGCACATGTGTTGTCACCACCACGCAAACACACACTCACACACACGATCTCTTCCAACATTCACCAGAAGTACCCACTACTTTAATAGAGGAAAAAGACTCTAATTTTGTCAATCCCCCCTTTTCTTTTCTGTTGTTCCATTAGGTTTCTGGTGGTTACTGTGAGTGGTTTGTTAAATCCATCTGTCCTTTTTGTCCCTCCCTCTGTCTCTCTTCTTCTCTTCACTCTTTTTTTCATTAGGCTTCCGTGTGTTTTCTCACTGCACTGAAACCCAAAAGACTCTGTGTCTGAAATGTCCTCACGGTGAATACCAGTCGGGCTGGACCAACGAGATGACCTGTTCCCGGCAGAAGTTCTGTGACACAGGTCAGCGCTTGCAGCATAAAAGTACAACATCCAGTTCACCAATACAGCAGACTTCTGCCTCAAAAAAGCATAACAAATTTGAGTCAAAATGTCAGATACCGTCTCAGCGAAACTGAAGACTGAGAGGTTGACCAAAAATATTTTTTTGCAAGAGTTATTGATTTGTTCTGTTTTTTGTATTCAAAAACTCTCTTAAACGTCACAACGAATGTCCTGCATGTGATTTGAATGAAGGGAAAATAAAGTGTGTTTCAGGAAAATGTCAAGAGCCTGAAAATGAAATCAATTGGAGTCATTATCAGAATTATCTCTTATTCTTTGTAGCGAAGCCAGTTCAAAACTCTGCTCCAGATTCAGCCTGAGGAGTGGGGTTTTGGATGCAACACACACAAGATTCCTTTCGAGGATTTGGACGTACATCTGCACTAAAATCCTTTTTTTTAACCTCCAGGTAAGGGTTTTTTGGACAGGTCTAAAATCCCTGACAACCCCAAGGCAGAGGAGCCGTGTCGCTGCCTTGATGGCCTGCAGTGCTATTCCGTCAACTGTGAGTACTGCGAGGAGATACCCCCCTGCCCTGCTGGATCTGGACGTGAGGTGGACCCTGGTGAGACAAACACCTCATTCATATCAAACAGTTACAAGGAGCGCAACTCAGCGATATTACAATGCACGCTGTTCATTCCAGAGTCATCGAATGGAAGGAAGATCTGTGTCAAGTGTGAGAAGGGCTTCTTCTCCGCTGGCAATAACGCTGACCAATGCAAGCCGTGGACTAAGTAAGTGGACACTTGCAGAAACAACTCACACACGGTTCTGTAGCTGGGAATCTTTTGACATATTGTGGAGGAAAAATGCAGTTGGGTGGTTGTCCTCACCAGCAACCAGCTGTTATGAGTAATATGTTCACCACTTCCCCTGGAACCCTGGCGGGGACCAGACACCAGCTTCCACTGCTGGCCGGATCTGTAACGATGATAATGATGACGACGGAGAGAGGGAGAGAAAGAATTTTGTTTTTCTCTCCTTCTGTCTCGCTTTTTTGTCCGTCATCACTGCAGTGCTATAAGTGAAGCCTGGCAGGTTGGCTGGTGAAATGTAGAGGGAAAGAAAGAAAGAAAAAACACAAGTTGTACAACATGTTACTCACTCTTTGGTTTTGTGATTTCATCTGCTTTCCCAGCTGTAAGGCTGAGGGCAGGAGAGAGACGCAGGCGGGCAGCGCTACGTCCGATGCAGTGTGTGGACAACCTGTCTCTGGTAAGACACATATACTGCAGGCTGTTACTGTGCAACGTCATGTTAATGCATATTTAACAGCTATTTAAATAAAGATGTGACACATAATTGTTGCTACTTAGAAGTTACAGTGATTTTTAAAAATTTTTATTTTGACTTATTATTGATTGTTTGGCAAACTTTAATTACTGATAATATGTGTAAAGCAGAAAAGCAAGCACTGAAAATATCTTTCTTGCAGGTGCAGAACGCTCTTGGGTTATAGTTTCAGTGCTATCAGTCATTATTGTTCTGTGTCTCCTTATTCTGCTGCTCTTCTGCTACAAGGACAAACTGAAATTACTCTCTGGTAGGTAACCTTGGAGTTCTCTCTCTCTACATGTGTGTTATGCTGCTGTTCCTTGGATGAGTTTATGGCTGATTGGATGATGATGTCCATTTAGATCACATTGACATATATTAGCACTGCATACATGCTTCATATTTGGCTTGCTGTTAATATTTCTAGCTCTGCATTTTAGTCTGTGTTAAGGTACACTATGTTGCTTCTTTGTCTAGTAAATCTGCGATCCTGTGTTCAGAATCTGAAGAGGACCAGGATACAACAGGTGAAGTTCAAAAGCAATGAAAACACACAGAAACCACATTTATTGCAAGAAGACATTTTAGATTGTTTTATGAAATACACCATCACAAAGAAATATAGCACTATCTATTCATGACTAGCAGTTACTTTCAATGCTTCTTTCCTTGTCTTTGTCACTTCAGGAGACCTTGGCCCCTCTTTACCATAGCGGAGCAGGAGGAGGGATAGGAGGACCTGGAGGCCCCAAATGTTCTCCATGTGAGACCACCAAACTCATCTGCCAAGCTCCCCACGGCCCTGCTGACGGTCCCTCGTGCACCTTTCCCACCTCTACTACCGACGTCAAAGTCTCTCTGCCCTTCACAGAGGAAATGCCAGAGAAAGAAGGGATAAAGGGGATGGAAGATCAGAGCGAAGGATCTGGAGAACCAGAAGAGGTGTCGGAAGAAGAGGTCGTGAGTGTGTCTCCGCTTCTGGCAGGTTCCTGCGTGTGCGTCATTCCGGTCTGCGAGCCGCTGGAAGTAGGGGAGAACGAGGACTGCAGCCAGGCCGTCAGCCCTGGGACGCCTGGAACCTGCTCGTGTGGAGGGCTAGATGGAGAGGAGGGCGGGAAAGAGGATAAAAGTGACAGTAAAAGGGCAGATAAGGGTGGAGGAAGGGCTGCTGGAAATCAAGAAAAGATTGAGAACGAGACAGGCGCTGCATCTCTTGTCTCTCTTTCCCCTCCTCTCCTCCACACCTCCTCTATAATCTCTCCCTCCAGTCCACTCGCTGAACTCTGCCTGCCGCTGTCCCAGGCTCAAGTGAGGCCAGAGTTCAAATATCACCTGCCTGACGCCTCACCGGTCAAACAGGAGGGATTATACAGACTGGCAAGCACAGGCTCCACCTCAACAGAAAGTAGCACGACCTCCACTATGAGCTCGGTCAGCCCCCTGATGACTTCCTCATCCGTTGGAGATCTCTACCTGGACAAGCCCCCGGAGGGTCCAAGCCCAGGGCAAGGCCAGGGAGTGTCCTGGGGGGACAGCAGGGAAAACAAGCTCTCTACGGGGGAGTCAGAGCTGGAGTGCTCGCCGGAGAGCCTCCACAGCCAGTTGGGTGAACCAACTCTTACCTCAGGTAGGTGAAGCATGAAGACTTTAAACTCTGTATGGAAGACCAATAGTGCCAGGAAATTAAAAAAAAAAAAAAAGTCTAGTCATAGTAAAACAAAATGATGAGGCACTCATTTATAATTGTAGGGTAAATGATGACTTTGGAAGTAAAAGTCACTGCTTTTGAGGGGGAAAAAAGCACTTACTAACTATTATTATGGCTTTAGTCATTTAGATTTTGCTATTCATTTAACTTAGTGCCATAATTTTTACTTACTATCTGATAATATTACTTCATATGCAATTACTTAGACTTAAATTATGATTATTATGCGTTAACATGTTGTCATTTTTATTTACTACTTCAAGCTAGCTCATTATCTTTAATTTTAATAAGACTTAAATTAATAACTGTACATCTATGTATTCTGTAACTTTCCATCTTTGTTCCATAGAAGAAATTGGCTTTCAAACATCCGTAAGTTGATTCCCAGAAGCTTGTTTTTTAGTTCTCTTTGGGCAAAACAAGGATGCTATGAGACTGGATATTTCCTGGATGTTTTTGCTATGACCACTCAGCAATGTCAATGAAAACTAATTGCACAGTGGTTGTGTGTAATGGGGATAATGGCTCATTACGAAGACTGCGGGCTCACAGTTGTGTTTGCCAGGTGGATTCTGTGTCCGTTGTTTGTGTAGGCAGTCACCGCTTTATTGCCACAGGGTCGTACCCATACGAGATTTCATATACTACATAGCAGCGTTCTGCTTTCCGCAGAATAGGTGGGACTAGCCACCAAGAACAACAGAGTGAAATTTAGATTGGTTTTAATGGAAAGTTTTAGAGTCACATGGTTGAACTTGCATTGTTCTCACAGAGACCCCTACGTGCTGCCAAAGAGAAAAGTCTCCGGGAAACTTATTTATGTACTCTGCCTCAAGCACCGGGTGGTTATGGTTAGTTATAAAAGCAATAATATCAGAACAGTCTGATCGAAACAGTGGTTTGCTCAAACTGAGGCATTATTAGGCGAACATGCTGAACTCAACGAGGATTGGTTTCACCATAAGAATAAGAAAGTTTGTGTGATCGCTTCCAAGAAATAGGCTTTATTAAAACCAGTATTGATATTCGGACCCCGAATTTTGAGGGACCTCACAGGGAGCAGGAAAAAGATATGTGTGTGTTTGATGTGCCACCGAACCACCAGAACCACACTCTTAACAAACACTGCTGTGTGTCTGTGTGTGTGTGTGCATCAGTGTGAACTATGCCATCTACAGTACAAAGCTCCTGTTTACCCAGAGTTCCATAAGGTTGCGCAAAGTGACCACAGCTTTAATTGAAGCAAGATGTGCGCAGCTTGAGTAATACTTTTATAATCCTGCCCACCCCCCACCTCCCCCCCAAAAAAACACACACACAAACTTGTGAAGGCTTTTTTTGACTCTCACTGATGACTGGGTACTTTAATTACAAGCTTGCTGACTTGAAGTGAACACCATTTCCCATCATGCAGTAATCACAATTGATGAAATGGACTTCCCACACATGCTATTTAAAGGTTAAACAAGGGTGAGAGGTTTCACCTGTCAACCTGGAAAACTTTTTAACCTCAAGCCTCACATAGTTCACACATAGAGGCGGTCCAGGGAACAACAGCTCCTCAGCAGCTCGGCCAGAGCAGCTTTGGGAGCCGAAAGGTACCTCAAAAGTCCTAATGGCCCACATTTATCCTGCTCAAGGAGGAATTAAACTAGCGGCCTTCCAAGAGAAATAAACAGATTTTGAAGAAAGCTGTATACAAATGTGGTTTTCTTCGACACTGAACAAGAGACGGGTTCTACTAAAGTTTAACTTTACCCCTGTCAGAAAACTGCATTGCTACAGTTGTTGGGCATCCAGAGAAATCAATGTGGTATTAAGAAAGGATAAACAGAAGAACCCAAGCAGATTCCATAGAGCTTTGTTTTCAAAGTTGTGGTGAAATGACATATTTTCAAGCTAGACCTCTCAGACTGGTATTCCGGGAAAGGCTCTCGGATGGGGAACACAGAGACACACTCTGTGTGAGTGTGCGATTCTGTTTGCCTGACTTTCAAACTTTATAGGGCTATGTGTGCCTTTCAGTGTGTGCGTGTGTGTGTGTAGGTGTAAAAAATGTCTGCAAGCATGTGTTTGCTTACATTTACTGCGATTAAGTGTGTGTGTGCATGCACAATAGATGAGACTAGAGCTGTGAGTCACTAAGGGTCGGCCTGTTCTGTCGGCTGGAAAGTCAGACAGGAGGCTGGATAAAATAGGAACCAGAGCCTTAATGTGGTGAAATGTGACTTGCAAAACAAAAACACACAGTTTATTTCCTAATTCACCTGGCTGGCTCAAATCCATGTATGAAAAGCAGGATGGGATAGGTTTGTACATGTTTATACAAATGATTTTAGGACAGGAAACTCATTGCAGAGACAAGTTGAGATCAGCCACTGAAGGCTCTCTTCGGGAGTTTTCATGGAGTAAATGTCAGAAAGAGCTGAACAGCACATATTTTGAATTTGTTCTGCCAATTTCTACGCAACCCTAAACCCTCGACAAATTGCTGTCTTCAGATGTCTTGAGTTTCTCACGCTAAAAAGTCGCTGGACACTCTGAAGCACGTATGGCTAGCAGGATATAATGCGGTGGTCTCTGTAGCTGTGGCCTTTTTGTGGTTATCCTGCATTGTCATTACACCCACTGTTCATTTGTCACTTGAGGTTAGCCAACATTTAGTCCCTTCTTCACTTACGTCATGAATAGGGGAAGCACTATTGGCTTGTGTAGGGGGAAATTGGAGGTCTTACACAACCATGACCTATATATATATATGTATATACATATCTACAAATTTCCCAATAGAGTATCGCTGCATTGCCATTTTCTCATGAGACCAGGACTTTTTTTTTTTTTATTCAAATATTATCTCTAAAAAATATCCCATTCCCTACCCCTTTACCCTTTTGTGCTTATTATATTTATACCTACTCTTCTGCTCACAATCTTTTCCTTTTGTCATTTTTTCCATTCAGGTCAGGTGTCTGGAAACCACAACACCACCTTCATCTCCAGCGGTCAGGTGATGAACTTCAGCGGCGATGTGATTGTCGTCTATGTAAGCCAGACGTCTCATGGCAGCGACTGCGTGGGGCAGGACGACGCCTTCGGGAGCCCCGTCCAGGAAGAAGCCAACGAGACAGCTCTGTTTTTCCAGAGCAGCCTGAGATCGCAGGGGGACTCCATTTCCCACAGCACCTTGCAAGACGAGACACTGCCAGTCCAGGAAGGAGTGGAGGAACGGCCGCTGGGAAAGTGAAAAGTGACCAGTGGCTGTGTTTTGTAGTTTACGTCAGTACAGCGATCATCTCCGCCATTAGACCTTGTAAAACTGACCTCTGATGCCTTCTGTTGGTTCCATTACTTTATAGATATTAGCTCCCATCTCCCATCAAATAAAGGCAAAACAATGCCCACAAATAATCTTAACTTTTCCCATTTTACACAAGAGTCACAGACTCTTGCTTTAGGCATTTATTACCAGTGGAAAGCTGCAGCCTTTTTTAAACGGAAACTCCCTCCATTCCAGACAATGATGGGGAATTTTGTTGGGAATTGGATGTGGAACTAGAGTTCAAATTGGAGGAACAAACTGTTTTTCTTGTTCTATGGAAATTGCAGCTTGATCTTGACACAAAGGAGTCGCCACATATTTCATTTACCACCTTTTGTCGTTAAATAGCCCAGGTTACACTCTGTAGACTCCTAGTTTTTGACTTTTTTGGATTTGACATTTGGATGACTTTACTTGCATAACAAAATATCCACCATGTGGAAATCATTTTTTATATTTTTATGGAGAAAATTCAATATAATAGCTACAAAAGGATCTGGCAGGACAGAAGTTTGTACAGAAAAATCATCATGAAGCCTTTCACTGAGTGAATTCTTCTTTTTCTGGTTTGCAGGATCTAACAGAAGCTATTTTACAATAAAGAGACACATCCAGTTTTGGTACGATGCTTTTAGCCTGTATGTACACTTTGTTTATTCTCTCCTTATTGCACCACAAGTGCAGTTTGTGTCTAAGAAAAAAATGCTATGCATTTGATAAGCTATTTTATTACTGGTTTGTTTTGTTTCATTACAATTTAATGTGCAAGCCTTAATGAAGAAAAGTGAAATGTCTGTTTATTATATTTTGTTTTAAATAATTTTACAAAGTAGATTGTTTATGTAATATTTCAGAAGTTTCATGTGATCAATGTTTGTATATATTTCAAAGGAGCATGGTATATTTGTGAAATAAGAACATTCTCTCATTTCATTTGTGGTGTGGGTGTTTTAAGTCAAGTGGCGCCATTACCAGCAGGCAAAATGCACACATTCTCAGAGCATTAAAGGGACGACCTCACCATATGTATGCAGCTTTGCGGAAAAAAAATATGTACATATCAATCAGACCTATTGCAATGAATAACTGAAAGACTATTTTTGATTGAAATTAAATATGTTTTGCATCAAATTCTTCCATGGATGACTGCCATCGTGCATTCTGTGGTTTCTCACTGTCAACTTTCCTATTTTGGGACCGGCAAATTACAATGAAGGAGTAATTTATCTCCTCAAGATGATCTATAATCTTAGTGAAGCAATGCTAATTACACATGTGGCAAGGCCTCTCTGTCTTTGTCCCCGTGTTGACAGACAGGCGGCCTTTCATCAGGGCCCGGGGATGGCGAGCAGCTGTGAGGAGAAACCAATCTAGCAGTCAGACCAGCTAGCGTCACAGAGAGACCACATGAGAGGAACTGGCAGCTCTCATTTAGGCCTGGTTTGGGTCAGCAGGCGTATGTTTATGTATGTTTGTGTGTGTGTGTGTGTGTGTGTGTGTGTGTGTGCGTGCGTGCGTGCATCTATGTGTGTAAGTGTGCGTCTTGTCTCAGCTTATTTTATGGTTGTTTGTGAAAACAGGAAGTTATGACTAGCTTTCACATGGTTTACATGAGAGCTGGCTCGCCGGGCCAACACAGAACTTGACTGTAGGTTTAAATGATTTCAGCTTTTTACGTGTGAGAAAACAGTCTCTAGTTTCACTGGGAATACTGTATGTCTTGAACCACTTAAAGTTGCTATAGTCTGCCCCCTAGTGGTGAGTTCATGTTAAGATGGGCCAACAAATCTCAGATAAATATCTTCCTAACAACAATAATAATGCAGAACCAGACATTGCTGAGTCACATTTTAATACGTAGGTACTAAATGCAATAGATAAAATCAGTGGTAAATAGATAGATGGGGGGAAAAAAAAGGTCATTGAAGGAGGGGAAACCCACTCTTGGTCAATGATCTGGGCTCAGCTGTCATATTCCAGTCCTGAATCACTGCCAGCCCAATCAGCAAACAGCCTGACATATTAGCTTCGGCAGGTGATCGTGTAGACTTGCGGAAAGCACCAGAAAATCTGCTGTAATCAAATCTTGAAATTGCAGCCAGCTCACCTGTGGAAGCAGGTGTTGAATTTCATGAGCAGACTCACAGAAGACCACTTAGACTAGTTGGTTCTCAGCAGATGCAGTTTTTAGTTCCTTCACTAGAAACTGCAAGATATATAATGAGCTTAGAATGAGATTGCATAACATCAACATGCCCAACAGAAGATCCATCCATCCATTATCTATACACCACTTAATCCTCACTAGGGTCGCGAGGGGGGGTGGAGTCTATTCCAGCTGACTTAAGGCGAAGGCAGGGGACACACTGGACACCCAGTCCATCACAGGACCACACTTAGAGACAACCAAGCACACTCACATTCACACCTACGGACAATTTAGAATCACCAATTAACCTCAACATGTTTTTGGACTGTGTAGGAGGAAGCCGAAGAACCCAGAGAAAATCCTCGCTGCATGGAGAACATGTAAACTCCCCGCAGAAAGATCCTGGGTGTCCTCACTGGGACACAAACCGGCGACCTTCTTGCTGCGAGGCAACGGTGCTAACCACCGAGCCACCTTGCAGCCCCCCAACAGAACATGAATCTACTTAAAATGCTTGCAGATGGGTCACTTTTACATTTCATACATCATTTCATGTGTTTTCTCTAATACTTCCAAACCAAAAAACACTTTTAATCCTGATGTTTTACACGCAAAAGCAAATGTAGCTGAGTTAATATCCCTCCATTTACTCAAGTCACAGAGGAGTTCTTCCTGTAACCCTGCCAATCCAGACTTAATAGTAAATAATAGTAATTCTATCACAGAAAATAAATGACACTTGAAAAAAGAAAAAGAAAAGCTACATAACATCACAGTAGTATATTATTCAATACTGATTTTACTGATTAACTAAATACACAAATGCTTCTCTGTGACTCAGGCTCATTAAGACATCCCCCCTCGTCATGTGTTTTGCTCATCATCATTCTGACTTAATTAATTAGTTACAAGAACTGACTTTAAACAGAAGGGTATTTATGTCTTTAAGGACATCCTCATGCATCCTCTGCCATTTAAAAGGTCGATAATGCTGCAAATTTTTCACTCTCTCAATTCTACACCTTCATCTCTGCCGAGATCGGAGTCTTGAGGCAACATCAGCGAAAGAAGGAGCTGCTCAGATCTTAAGAGGGACATTGCAGTTTTTTTGGTACCAACTCCAAAATGCAAACAGTAAGGTGAGATTTTAAAAAAAAGACAAAATAAAAGTAGAATTGTCTGTTTAAAAAAAAAAAAAAAGTTTGAGCAATGCAGTGCTGTTTCTTCTTTGGGTATCATCTGGGTGGAGATTGTTGCAAAGTCAGAAATCAGTTTCAGACAAACACTGAAATGTCAGAAAAGTCAGTTCAAAGCCTGTGACCTTTAATTTCTCTTTTTTAAAAAAAAAAAACGTTGACTGTTGTTTCTGGCATTCACTGTTTTGCCTTAGGTGGTACACCTCACACACTTTGTAATTTAGTTGAAGTTTAAACAAACACAAGCGATGATTTATACTCTTCGTTTTTCTTATGAAATTCTTTTTTTTTTTTTTTTTCCTTCAAAAGTAAACCATGGTGTCGAGATCCACTCGGAGTTAATTGTTTAAATCTCGTGCTTCATTCCTCAGGTCTTTCTTCGTCCCCCAGTGGTCTTCGGATGTGCGTCTTGACGGGAAGACGGCCATAGTCACCGGGGGCAATGTTGGGATAGGCAAAGAAACGGCTAAAGACCTGGCTGGCAGAGGCAAGCAAACAAACACTTTAAGACCTTGATGACTTATATGTTCTGTATTATTTCTGTCATATTATTCCCTTTTTCTTTTTTTTTTTTTTGCTGTGTGACTCAGAGTACCTGCGTAGAAAATGTTTCCAGCTTAACAAGCTTGTGCAAGGATAACAAGCATAATGTGATGACTCAAGCATTAAAGTGCTGAATTTGATTAAATAAATGATGCTCATAAACACAATGTAGCGCTTTTTGGGGCTTTTTTCTTTTTTTTTTTTAAAGTAGGTCAAAAACATTTGAGATCAGTGCCAGCTATCATTAAAAAAAAAACTGCTATTTTAAAAAAAGAAAAGCACAACAGAATCTTATCTTGAGCAAATTTCAACATGCAAACACACTCACCATTAAGAGGAATGAATCTCCCCTAGGTGCCCGGGTGATTTTGGCGTGCAGAGACATGGTGAAGGCAGAGCAAGCTGTTTGTGACATCATGAGGGAGGTGAAGGGAGCCAAGGTCGTCGCCAAGCAACTGGATCTGGCTGACACTACATCGATCTGTCACTTTGCCGAGAATGTCTACAACAGTAGGTGTCACACACACACCAACACGTGAACTCCAGAATACAGTACACACCTTTTATGAAGACTGTAACGTCAGTAATAAATGAAGAGTTAATTTGCAAAAACAGATAACTCCATCTTCACAAACCTTAAGAAAACCCACTTTTCCATCATCTAGCTGAGACAATATCATCAAACTTAAGTTATCTCTATTTTTGTCATTTCTGCTGAGTCAAATCCACTCAGCTTCAGTTTGATTGATATTATCTCAAGCAAACAACAAAAGAATGCGTTTTCTGAAAATCTACAAAAATTGAGTTATCTGTTTTTGCAAATGAACTTTTCAAATATCCTGTTTTGCAGCTGAGAAGGCTCTTCACTACCTGATCAACAATGCAGGCGTGGCCTTTTGCCCTTATGCCAAGACAGTGGATGGATTTGAGACTCACTTCGGAGTCAATCACTTGGGTAGGAGACAAAAATGTTGAAAAAATACATGAAGTTTGGGGAGTTTGTCTCTTTATTTAGCTGAAGCCGGGGATGTTGCAATGGATTCTTGGAAGTACTCTGCAATAGAACAAAAGAACATCGTTTTGGTGATCCCTCAGTGGACTGCCAGTCTCCTAAACCTTGATGCATATGCTTATAAATCTACAGTATGCTCCTATTTTTTCTGCTTTGCTCCTCCTATGTCTTATTTTTCCCTTTCTCTCTCTTTCTTTAGGCCATTTCTTCTTAACTTTTCTGCTGCTGGACCTGCTGAAGCACTCGGCCCCGTCCCGGGTCATCAACGTGTCATCGATGGCTCACACCATGGGCAAGATCCAGTTTGATGACCTGGGCGGGGAGAAGGACTACCACCCGGTCAGGGCCTACGCACAGAGCAAGCTGGCCAACGTCCTGTTCACCAGAGAGCTGGCCAAAAGGACTGAGGGTAGGGTGAGATAGCAAGATTGTACACGATGTATGCTTGTCTTTATCTGTCTGTCTGAGCCTCTCTGTCTGTGTTCTTATGCATAAAAAATGGATCTGCATCTCTTGCCAGTGTGAGAGTCTCATGTCTCGACCACAAACGCTCTGGGCAAGAAACACAGCAAGGAGAAACATGTTGGTCGAAAAAACAGTTGTAACACAGAATTAATCGTTACCCCAGTGATCAGAACCTCGCTGTTCAGTCCCACTAGTAGTTTAATGATCTCTTTAGAGACAATTACGAGGAAAGTTTGATTTTTAAGTTCCTATTGTATGAAACACTTCCCCTGGATGATCATATTTGACCTTAAATTTTAATCAAGATTTTGTTTTTAATCATTTCAGGCTGAACTATAAACAAATGAGTCATGTAAAGCCACTCAAACTCTCAAAGATGACACCTAATGTCCTCCTTTCCCTCCAGTTATGGGTGTCATGGCTTACTCAGTGGACCCCGGCATGGTGAACACTGAAATCACAAGGCACGTAATGCGCCCTCTTGTGGACATAGTCAAAACCTTCAGTATGATGATCAAGACTCCAGCAGAGGGAGCCTACACCACCCTCCACTGCATCGTCACTCCTGAGAACCAGATGCACACTGGAGGATACTACAGGTCAGTGTGACATGCAAGTGCAACAATACTATTACTAGCAGCTAAAATAAGGCAAACCTCGCTCTTTACAAAATAAAAGCAGATGTGAAGCTGCTGCACTCCAAATTAATTCATTCAACAAAGGCATGTCTTTGTTTCTTTGGCAGCTTCACGCTGTAATTTAAGTAACATGGCAACATCAGTAGCATCTTCTTGTTTGCTCAACCTCTGTGTAAAGTGCAGGATGGAGGTTAGAGTTCCTGTGTGCCATTAAGCATCTTTTTAGTAGCTGCTAGATGCAACAATATGTCAAACAGCTATGTGGTAACTACATTCAACCTCTTAAGACCCAAGCTCTTGTTTGATATGCATTTTTATTTCACTTTGCTGTTAGATCTGATGAAATAGAAAAGAGAACAAAATAAATAACATAAAGAAAATGAAAATGTCAGGTTTTAAGAGGTTAAACGCAATCTCAGCTGTTCATAGGTCAGACACTGAATGTGTAAAGTATGTAATCTTTTCATGATATACACTGTTCATGTAAATTCATATAGAAGGCATTATCCAGATCAGACCACCTCAGTAAAGGAGGATAAGATAGAGAATATATACAACAAGTGTTTAGATTTTGGAAGTAACAAAACTACAGCAATGAAATACTCAGTTAACCCTCATATTACCTTCAAATTTACTGACATCTTTTATCCTTGGGTTCAATTTGACCCCAACAATTTATCCATCCATCCATCCAGTATCTATACGCCGCTTAATCCTCACTAGGGTGAAGGCAGGGGACACCCTGGACAGGTCACCAGTCTATCACAGGGCTACACTTAGAGACAGACAACCAAGCACACTCACATTCACACCTACGGACAATTTAGAATCACCAGTTAACCTCAACATGTTTTTGGACTGTGTGGGAGGAAGCCGGAGAACCCGGAGAGAACTCACGCTGCACGGGGAGAACATGCAAACTCCACACAGAAAGATCCTGGGCGTCCTCACCAGGACGCAAACCAACGACCATCTTGCTGCGAGGCGACGGTGCTAACCACCGAGCCACCTTACAGCCCCTCCAGAAAATTATCACAGTTAAAATTGTTACTCAAGTTTATGTGAAACAGCCCTTTAAATAAAACTGAAAAAATTACGTCAGTGACTTATTTAAAGATGTGAAACATTGAAAGGGGTCAAACTGACCCCCCAAAAATAGGAGAGTTAAAAGAAGAACTCATCAAGGTCAACACGTAAAGCTGCAAAAGTATTCATATTAGTATGAAAAATGTACTTAAAGTGCCAAATTCATGTAAAATGACATATAATTAGATTCATGTGTAATATTTCATTTTTTTCAGATGAATATATACATTTCATTTGTGACATTTCAACTTCCTTCCATTGTCCTATGTGATCTAATGTCACTGCCTCAGGATCGTTGCCAGTTTTACTTACAACTTGTTGAATTTTAGAATATTTTTTTTCTATTTTTTATTCTAGACTGATTTTTATTTTCAATATTGTATCGTACATACATCTTTTTGCTCTTCTACTAAGCACTGTATTTCTCATCTTATGCCATTTTGTTTTCTGAGCAATATCTACCAAAAGACCTTACTACAGGATTAATTACATTTTATCTTATCATTATATTGCTATTATAATTCTTGATGCATTATTGTGTTCGTCATTTTAGTGCTGAAGCTGGTATAAGTGGTTAAACTACTTTATGTCGTTCATTTGCTGGATAGCTCATGAATTTGCTTAATTTATGATATTACATCAAAGTTTATGTGTTAATCATATTTTGCATCATTAAATTAAATTTGTAAAATGACTAGTAATTAAAGTTATCAATGAAATGTAGTGGAGTGAGAAGTATATTTGCCTCTGAACTGTAGGGGAGGAGATGTATAAAGTTGCTCTAAATTGGACTCACATGAGTAAAAGCTACTTTTCATCTAGATCACCTTACTAGAGACACATTTTTAAGTCTAGAATTTAAATCCACTTAAATACAGAAAACAGAAAAGAGGTCATGATTGATTGTCTTCTCTCTCTTCTGTTTGCTCTCCTTCCAGGGACTGTGCCAGGGCTCAGAGCTCCAGGGCAGGTCAGGATGATGGCACCGCCTTGAAGCTGTGGGCTGTGAGCTGCCACCTGCTCGGCATTCGCTGGAGATAAATGTGCTCTCCTGCACGCCGGGAAGCAATATTCAGTTCATATTCATTGATTACTCTAAATATCCCGCTGATGCTTCCTCGTTATACTGAATGTTATGCATGTGATCGACATAAGCTATGTAAGTAGACTAAAAGGATCTGCTCAAGTTTGACTGGTAAGATGTGGAAAAATCCAGCGTGTAGGATTTGGTGACATCAAATGTGATGCTGCAACCAACTAAATAACCCTTGCACAAAAACACAAAAAATAAAAATGCAAAAGATCCTCTCAAGGGTTGCATTTTGGTTTGGTTTCACTCTGTATTGTAGAAACATGGCAGTGCAATATGGCAGATTCTATGAAAGAGGACCCAGGCCTGACCAAGGAAGGAACATTTTATACAGCAAAATTGGTGAGCTCTATACAATATGTAGTTGTTATATGCCTCAAATAATGTGCACAAACCAGGCATGAATGAGGAAATGTGTTCAGAAGTTAATCTGTCAGTCTGTCTGTCTGATTTGTAGAGTTGCTCGAAATTTTTAGTCAAACATTCATACAGGATTTATGGATGTCCGTGGCATTCCAGACTCTTACTGGTTTGCAACTGAGCAGCAAATCAAACTGCAAATAGAACACGAGTCCAATCTATTCTTGTTATTGTGGCTGAACATTATTTAACATGTCCTGTGTCCCATTTCTCCTTTTTTTAAAATATCATTTTGAGGCCTCATAAAGTCACACACTCAAATATTTAGCCCTCAAGGGGGAACTTGACACTGGACCTCACTCACATTTTCTTGTTTTTCAGGGTGGAAAAGCCATGAACTGCATGACTCTCCCTCTGATTGGCCAACTGCAACATTCTAATTTTAACCAATCTCAACATTCCTGCTCTGACCAATCCCACTAGTCAAATCCTGCCAATCAGGTAGCACCATTCTCATGAATATTAATAAGTTTTCCCTGCAAGAAGGAAAACCTTTGACCTGCTTTTTCTGTGAATGCATTGATTTTAAGGTCACATAAACACAACTACTCCTATTGTTCAGGTAATTAAAAAAAAGAAACCCCATAAATATTAATATGATATTGCATTTCTGCCAGTTGACTCCCTAAATCCTACACACTGGACCTTTAAGAGGATTAAACACAAGAAAGTAACCGCTGGGAATAAAAATATCTTTAATACTTTAAACTGTTCTTGAGTGTTTTATTCTGAAAAAGAAAGCTTGGGAACATAGCTTCTTTGGAACTTAATGGCAGTCTAGCCCAATTTAAGGTAATGATGAAGTGGCAGCATACAAAAGAAGGGATTTGATTAAAGCATAAAAAAGAAAAAATGATGTAAATACAGTCATAGAATTCTTCTTGTAGGCAGATTAGTGGCAGTTTTTTTATTTTTTTTTAATTTGTATTTTCCAGACTGCAGTGGTGAATTTTTGGGGTTTTTAAACTGAACATGCATGGGATTCCTTTGTCACCCTCTGGGGTCATTTCAGTCCACAATTTGAGCCTCAGCCTGCAGGAGACCGTCAGACTTGATCCTCCTGCTCTGCAGCCTCGAACTTGTGAATCAATTAGCCTGTGCGTCAGCCGGCTGCTGATTGGCCCAGCGTGGGATGTGAACCGAGCGCGGCGGGGTGGGGAGAGATGACAGGCACGAAACCCCACTGATGGACTGGAGGGAGATGTGCTGCTTATTGCCGGCTCAAGTCGCTCACCGGTCCTGAGGTGGAAAATCTGTTACTGTTGGAAGGGTGGAAAATGTACTGCAGGTAAGAAAAGAAAATGGAAAAAAAAAAGAAAGAAATACAGCTTGTGGGTAACCGTGGAGATTTGGTGGCTGGCTCTGGAATGTGAGAAATTTTAAGAAGATTATGCTGCACGGTGCCACTAGATTTGTGATTTGTAAAAAAAAAAAAAAATGCAGACGATCGTTTTGTTAATAGTTATGCTGAGGAAAAAGCTTTTTAGTATGTTTCAGTTCCTTTAAATCTGTTGAAGTGAGTTTGAAAATGTCATCACATTTATGCAGGAAATGTTCTAATCTATAATGAGCAGCACTATGCAACTGTTGTGCATGTTAGATTGTTCTTATATTCCAAATGGGCAGCAGGTAAAATATGTTCAAGGGACTGTTTTGCTCATTGTTGCTGCACTTGTGTGTGTTGCTCAGGAGTGTGTGCTGCAACCGCTGGTCATCTGAGGAGAGGTTAGATGGGAAAACAGTCATCATCACTGGAGCCAACACTGGGATTGGCAAAGAGACGGCCAGAGACCTGGCCAGAAGAGGTACCGTCCACTGTGTGTGTGTGTGTGTCTGCACCTCGCTTGGTCTGGATCAGTTGCATTGACACGTTTCATTTTTACTAACCTTCACACAGTGACTCACATATTCCACTTTTTCTTCCCCCCCTGGATTGAAGTACCTCAAACACTTTTGAATGCTATGAATCATATTCTTTAATCCTGCTTACTTGCTTTAGCTTGATTATATATGTTTTGATGGGACTATTAGGCTGCATCAGGTGATTTTATAACCTCAACCTCCTGTGCATCCGCCGCCAAAGATAGATGGGAAAGTGTTTTGATGCCGCGTTAACAAATAAATGGGCGTCCTGCTTCACATTTCACAAAGTGCGAGATAAGTGGCAAAGATGGAAGACAGACGAGGCGTCAAGGGGACAGAGGGAGCATTGTGAGGGTCCTCTCCCCTCCCGAGCCCAGACAGGCAACAAAGAGGGTGCATAGCAGCCACGCACACACACACACTCACACTCACAACACACTCACAGCACACAACACACACAGTAATATGAAAAGTGGTTCTGCATACATGATTCAGTTTGCTCATTCATCTGCACTTGAAAGGCACAGCATGGTGTGTACACCTCCCTCTTCTTCAAAACAACCACTGTGCAATTGAGCGAATGGATATTAAAAAAAAAAAACAAAAAAAAAACTTAATTGCTTTCGTTGTGTAAACAGAAGGGCGAGCAGGAATCATTTTGTCTTATTTTTGTTCAGTGATGTATGTCAGAAGATTTTTTCTGTTTTTTTTTGGTAGTTAGATAGATTAAATACAGAACAATGGGAGAAATGGAAATACAAAGACGGGGCAAGAAGAATTATCGCTGCTGGTGTAAAAATAGTGACTCTGCCTGTAGGGCTTCACTTTCAAATCATTTTTTTTAGCAAATTGGATTATGCAATAGCGTAATGACAACATGATTAGATTTGGAAGGATTCATAACAGGGAGTGATACCTTAAGGCGCAGCATCCTACCAAGGGAAGTTCAACTGAATTTTAATCATTTGTTTGGCTATAACATTCATATTTTATATAAATATACACATTGTGTGTCCATATTGAATGTTTGAGAACTGAAATGAAGGGAGCTTTGCCATAATTACATAATAGGTCTGAACAAACAGAATGTGATCAAGCTCGACTCAAGCTTTTCTAATTTGTTATTTATCCACACATAGAACTGTTTAACAATCTGCTGGAAGATCTTTAGGCTGACACAGTACACCGCCTCATTCCCGCTGTTTGTTTACTATTTTTTATTTAATTAAGTGAACTTGGCTGCTCTGGTAATGTGGGAACAATTGGGTTTTCCCACATGGGAGCAGCCGGACAGAAACAAAGAGCCTGCGATGGGACACAGACGCTGTGCTCCAACTGATTAATGGCTCTCGTCTTCTATAATTGCTGAGTACATTGGCTATTTAGTATGTGTGTGTGTGTGTTTGTGTGTCTGGTGTGGCGTTGGGGAGAGGGGAGGGGGTGCAGTTGTCTGTCTATATGTTAGTTTGTGTGTGTGTGTGTGCGGCGCGGGGAAGAGAAAGGATGCGTGCATGTGTCCTCAAAGCCCCTTTTTTCTGTGCTCATTAAGGAGAATGCATGGTAATTTGTGTCAGAAGCAAATGAGAATGACACAGTTGAGAGGGTCCTGTGTTCATGCGAGTGGAGCGGCTGGGCAAATGAGGTGCTGAGTGAGGGCTTAGAAAACATTAGAGGATGATGACAAGTAGACTGCGGCTGAGAGATTTAGGTACTTCGCTCCTAATTTGATGTTTGTGGTTTCGTACGCCTGCAAATGAGCAGAGCCTTTTGTGGTTTTGAGTTTGGAAACTTGGAGCGATTTGAAACCTCCCTTGTGTTGAATATTTGTCTTAATTTATCGCTGTTTGAGCTTATTTTCAGCCACTGAGATTATGCAGCACAACTGGTGTGAACACGACCGTCTTGGGGTGTATAAAACTTACTTGCAACACAAAAATAAAAGCCAGAGCGAGATGTGAGGTCATAGTGAAAAGAGAACTGACAATAAATTTTCCTTTCTTCTTCATCTTCTCGGAAACATGAGCACACAGAAAGAAACTTGAACATAGGGGGGACTCATGGTTCCCAGCTGGGAGGATGTGCGACGTGAGAATGTGACACTATCTACTTGTGATTTCTGACTCACGCTTTTCAGGTGCACGCATCGTCATGGCGTGCAGAGACTTGGAGAGGGCAGAGGAGGCTCGGACAGACATTCTGGAAGACACAGGAAATGAGAATCTGATCATCAGGAAGCTGGATCTGTCTGATACCAAGTCCATCAGAGCGTTCGCTGAGCTCATCAACAAAGGTAGTGTCAGAAAAGCATCAAGTGATTAACCATTTAAACCATATTCATAATCCCAAAATGTAATGATGGCAAAGTTAGAAAGAAATCATGATATGTGTGAGACGTCCACATGGGATCTGTCAAGACACTTTTGATAAGATTGTTTTGTGAGCCCGAGGAAGGATATTGTGCAAGACCACAATGTTCTGGACACAAGAGAGGCTGAACAGAGACAAGGTTTTGATGTAAACATCATCTTCTGAACATGAAGGCAGAATCAGGTGATTATGATACACTAAAGGACTTGTAACGGAAGTTGGGCAGTGTAAAGAATTTTATTTAAGTTAATGCATTCTAAATGTTTAGTTGTTCTCGGACCAGCTCGGTTTGTTCATACTATGAAGTGTCAAGTAAACCTTTTTTCCCATGTGTGTTCGAATAACTGAGAATAGTTTAAAATTCTCCACCACAGTAGGTAGCTGACAATAAATATACACACAGGTGACGAAAAAAGTACGGTGTTGGGCCATCACATGCTGTCAAAACTACTTTGGAGGTGTCTGGAACTCTACCAGAGGGACACAACAGCATTCTTTCAAAAGATTCCCTCATTTGGTGTTGTGTTGATGGTGACGGAGAGCGCTACTATTTTGAGCAAACAATTTCTCGTGCCCTGTGAATGGGAGCATCCCCACTCCCATCAGGATAGAAATGTTTCATCACAAGTTAAAGGGGATCACTCAGAGCAACTTTGAGTTGACGTGCAGCAACCCTTACCTCTAGGGAGGCAACTGAATCCAGATCATGCCAGCAAAATGCCTTCATAGCATAACAGAGCCACCAGATCCCCTCAGAGTAGAGGTCAAGCATTCAGGCTTTTCCTTTAATTTGTCACCCTATGCTTCTTTAAACAGCAATTGAATCCTTCAGCAAACAGGGTAGTGTGAGTCATTCATTCCTTCTGTGATTGTTAGTTCACCACATCATAACTCTGCCAATATTTACATGAATTGCTTCATCAGTTGTATGGAAAGGCATCGTATAAATGCTGTCCATTTACCAAAAAGCAACGACAGGTTTACCATTTATTTAAAATGAGATACTTACCTTATTTTTTGTGTGTCATTTTCAGAGGAAAAACAAGTGAATATCCTGATAAACAACGCAGGCATTATGATGTGTCCCTACTCTAAGACCGCTGATGGGTTTGAAATGCAGTTAGGGGTCAATCACTTGGGTGAGTTATACTGTTTGGTTTTTGTGTTTTACATCTTTATCTGTATTTGATTTTTTTTGCTTATGTAAATTTCTTGACAAGTCGGCATAAGTTGTAGTGAAGTGGTTTGGTTGCTGTGCTTCTTATCAGTCAGCTACATAAAAGAGTTTTTGGACTGTTTGGTCTTTGTAATTGATTTAATGAACAGCTGACAGTGATGCTGCGTATTTAACTGATTTAATAGTAAGACTACATAGTGACAGGACAGATTTTAACACTGAACAAGGTGATTTTAATAAATTTTTTTAGTATTACCACCTGCACCACATTTGTAGAGCCAAGCTGGCAAGCAAAAAATAAACCAGAGTCACTTTTTTTTTTTCTTTTTAAGCTGTCAGAGTTCTCATCTGTGTTGGACCATGGTTTCCTTCCAGACTGTGTTTGCCTCTGCGGTATTTTTGTCACGGGCTGACAGAGAGAACAGTCTGTGCTTGAACACGTTCACCCACACGCATATGCACACACTGACATATATACATACGTGTCCGCACGTTTAAAAAACGTCCATCATATGTGCAGATGTGCTTTAAATAATGAGGATGTTTAGTTTAAGAGTAAAACAGGAATTGGAGAACAATTGAAAGGAAAGTAAAATCACTCAGTGCAATCGTGAGGGGTTCCTCCGCATTGGGGTTCATAGGACAACACCATTGTGTGCTACTCAAGCAGAAATTCTATTTGTCTCAAGTAGTAGCTGCTGTACCACATACTGTATTTAGCACATCAGCAGGAATAGTTTCCTGTGATTATTTAAACTCTCTACCCATTCATACAGCTCACAGTGAGGCTGAATGAGTGACAAATGCGTAAGAGTGTTGTGAGATCCCACCTGCTGTGGATGCGTCACTCAAGATGGGAACAAAATGTTTCTTTTCAGGGGAGCCAAGTTCGGTTCAGTAGACAGACGGAGATTTTAGATTCTCCTCAGTCAGGAGTCCTTGTTTGCGTGTGTGGAGGAGGGTCACAACCTTCTTATCGACATCACAGCAAACTGTCCCCTACATTAACATGAAGAACGACCATTTACACTCTAGCGTCACATGTCTACATAACAAACACAACAGTGTAGGTCTGGAGTCTAGACACATATTGAAGTGGTGCAGTTTACTTCCCTCCACAGTCATTACAACCTTCTTCACTCTGTTTTTTTTCCTCGTTGATGAAAAATTACGTTATGTGAGGTGTTTTTGGAAGTACTAGTTCATATCTTTGTATCACCTTCTGGCAGAATGACACATTAGTTCATGTGTTCCTTCAATTTTAAGTGGTTGATAGAGACAAATGGTCTTTTTCAAATGATTAACTAAAACAAAATCTGCAGCTATTTTGGGAATCAATCAATTGTTTCAAACTGAAAAAAATGAAAAATGTCTCTTGTTCTTGTTTTTATTCCTCACATAGCACTGTAAACTGAATATTTCCACATTCGGTGAACGAAAATAAGCTGAAGCTGTTTTTTTTCCACTTTTTTCATTTCATACTAAGCAATTTTAAAAAACTGAAGTCATCAGCAGGTGAATGATGGAGAAGATATACACAAGATGTAGCCATTTACACTTCTAGGATCAGAATCCTGCCCTCACCCCTCTTGATTCAGAAATCCACGACAGTGTGTTGTAACCCATATTTGGTGGAAATCTGTGTTTTATGACTTCCTCAGGTCACTTCTTGTTGACTTACCTGCTGCTGGACCTGATGAAGCGTTCGGCTCCGGCCCGTATCGTTGTCGTGGCATCGGTGGCTCACACCTGGACTGGGCTTCGACTGGATGACATCAACAGCGAGAGGAGTTATGACACCATGAAGGCTTACGGACAGAGCAAACTGGCTAATGTGCTTTTTGCGCGCTCATTAGCCAAACGGTTACAGGGTAAGGTTTTCAAGTAATGACTGCACAACCAGACATCACAGGGTGTGAAAGTAAAGAAAAAAAAAATACATATTTGGTTTTCAAGGTACATATTTGTGTGGTAGCCATGATGCAAACAATTATGCTGACATGAGGGCATGTACAGAGAGAAACGAGAGATGTGAAAAAGTCTGGATGTTTGAGCCTGGAGACTATTGGGAAGAACTGTTGGTGCTGTTCTATCTCAGAAAGGCGAGTCAGAAAAGCAGCAGTGTTTGACATCAGCAAGTCCAAACTAACCATCACTTGCACACTGAATAGTTTGCATAAATTCTTTCTCGTCTCAATCCATTGTTCTTTTCTCTGCTTAATGGCCAAGAACTGAAGAAAATTGCCTTCCAGCTCTCCAGTCAATCAAATCTAATCCATTGTGATTTTAACTTAGATGATGCAACATTAAAAAAGAAAGAACAAAGCGAAAATAAAATGCAAATGGCATGGCTAATGTGGCTGCAGTGTTTGATTTTTGGAAACAATCACTTAGACAGTCACTGTTTGAAAGGGTAGAAATACAGCAGTTTATTTTATTTTTTAAAATCAAAATCATAGTAGAATATCCATATATATACATTAGAGGCAGACACCCTGCATGCTCACACTCACACTATAACCAATTTAAAAACATCAATTAATGCATGTCTTAGGACTGTGGGAGGAAGCTGGAGCAAAACCCACGCAAGCACAGTGAGAACATGAAACTTCACTCAGAAATCATCCCCCCCCTCAGGAGACAAAAGTCAAAACCAGTTCACACTTGTTTGCATGTGTTAACATAAATAGACAGACTTGCGTAGGTGACTGTGTAGGTGTCGGCATATGTTTTGCAGGTACCGGGGTGAGCGTGTTCTCTTTGCACCCGGGGGTGGTGCAATCTGACCTGTGGCGACACCAGCACCAGTGTATCCAGGTGGCGGTGAAGATCTTTAGAATTTTCACCAAGACAACGGTGGAGGGGGCACAGACCACCATCTACTGCGCCGTGGAGCCGGGCCTGGAGAGCCTGAGCGGAGGGTACTTCAGGTATTATTTCAAACAACAGCTGGTTACACAAGAGCTTTTAGAGTGCCGGCATCACGCTTGCTCAGTATTTCTACCTGCAAAACCAACAAAAGGCTTTACTGTGTGTGTAGTTGAGCTTTTACAATTTTTATCCTCGCCTAACAATGGCACAAACGCAGCAACACAGTGTGTAATGGCCACTCTCTGTCCCTGCATGTATTCAGCGACTGCGCCCCTGCAAGGTGCTCCAGGGCTGCTTCTGATGATGAATCGGCCCAGAAGCTGTGGGAGATCAGTTGCAACATACTCGGCATCACCTGGCAGTGAATAGCGGCAAATGAACCACGCAGAGAAAGACATTGTATTCTAACGTGCAAGTACCATCTTTTAAACAGCACTGTTACGCACTTTTATAGATCCATTAATGTTGCTGTTTTTAAAAGAAAAAGATGCGTAGTGGAGTCCGATAGTATCTAGATCGCAGCAAAGAGCTTCTTTATTTTATAAATTATCCAAAACGAATCACGTGTTTTAGTCAAATAGTATTATCAAAAACTTTGTGATGTTGATCCTGAAGTGCTTGTTAGGTTTCTCTTAAATTGTTTTAACACTTTTTGTAGAATTTGAACACGTTGAAGACATTTTTTTTTTTAACTGTTCTGCCTTTTTACTGTACTTTTACGAACAAATGAGGACACTTTTTGTTCAGTCGGGTTAAGAGTGCAGGTGCTGCTCTATCTTGCAAAGACATTCATCAGCATGGTTTTTACCTTGGATGTAAAAGATCCAAAATTCCTCTCATGTATGTCTCTTAAAAGTGTGGCAGTAGGATAGTTTTTGGCTCCAAACTACCTCCAAAAGTCCCTTTTCAAAGTAACATTCGAATGACATACATGATCAGGGCACGCATTTTTGAAGTTGAAAATTTAAACGCTTAGATAACAGTTCATTTGAAGTGGTTCCTGTTAAAGCCATTTCCACGAACGAGGACTTCCCAGTAAGCGTGGGTCATGAGCTGAAAAAAAATCAAAGTGTATACTTATTGATCAATAAGATTTGTGGAAATGTTTTTCATTAAGCTGTTTCATAGAATTGCTTTGTGTTTTAATCAAAGAAGGAAATGTGTAACATCTCAATGGTGTCATTGTGTTGAGTTAATAAAAACTCCACCACAATATGAATGCATGTGGTTCTAATCATGTTGTGTCAGCATGTTGAGGCTTCACATACCATGTGAGATTGTAAATATGTTATGTAACAATATGACATTAAACAAAAATTAAACTCATTAAACTGTCCAACATTGTGAAGTTCTCTAAGTGACTGAAAAGTGACTATTCATGTTCATTCTGATGGTATTTAGTTAATGCTGATGTTTTCCAGTCTGCCAGGTTGATCTTTAACATGTGAAAGTGGTCTTAAAGTCTCAGCCAGTGCCAGACAACTGAATTTTGTGGCTTACTCCATTGTTGATCCTTCAAAGTGACAAATATCTGCAGATACTTGCAACGCCATACTAGAATATAACAAAGACAGATTTAGAGAAAACGCCATAATTCTTTGCAGTAACTACATCTTAATCTAAATCACATGGGGGAGTATTTAACCAGAGGAATGTGTCATGAGCAGGGTGAGTGACTACAGGAGTCTGTGAACAACAATCTATGTGAACTCCGGGTGCATTGTGATTTGGATATACGGTGCCAGTGGATAAAGGCGGTATACTTAACCAACAGCACAATGAAAATCATCAATAGATGCAATACTCTTCTGTGGAAAAACTAATTAAACTACACAAATGGGATGAGAAACATCCATTTCTGGCTCAACTTTAAGACAGATGGTCCCACATTATATGCAAACACTCTGATATGGTGCAAAATTTATAGTTGAGTTAATGACAACAAGCTGCTCAGTCCCTGAGGCACCAAAGCAACACCAAACTGTAACATTTCTTCCAGCAGTTGGGGTTAGGTTGGTCCTCTGAAAAGCTGTTTTTCTTCTGCGCTAAACATGTCTACTGCGAATAACTCCGTCTTTGATTTGTCTGTCCAGAACACATTATTCCAAAGAAGCCTGGTCATACAGTTGAAACCAGAAGTTTACATACACTGTATAAAGAGACATATAGCTTTTTTTTCTCTCACGATCTGACATTAAATCAGACTAAACCTTTGCTGTTTTAGGTCAGTTAGAATTACTAAAATTATTTCTAGAAGAAAGAGAGAATTTTTGAGAGATTTTTAAACATTTTTTTATTACTTTCCTCAAAGTCAGAAGTTTGCACACATTTTCTTAGTATTTAGTAGCATTGCCTTTAAACTGTATGACTTGGGTCAAACGTTTTGGGTTTCCTTCCACAAGCTTCTCACAACAGTTTGATGAATTCTGGTACCTTTCCTCCTGACAGAACTGGTGGAACTGAGTCAGGTTTGTAAGCTGCCTTACTGGCACACACCTTTTCAGCTCTGCTCACACATTTTCTACAGGATTGAGATGAGGGCTTTGTGATGGCCTCTCCAAAACATCCATCCATGCATCCATCCATTATCTATACACCGCCTAATCCTTACTAGGGTCACAGGGGGCTGGAGCCTATCCCAGCTGACTGAGGGTGAAGACAGGGGACACCCTGGACAGGTCACCAGTCTATCACAGGTCTACACTTAGACACAGACAACCAAGCACACTCACATTCACACCTGCGAGGCAATTTAGAATCACCAGTTAACCTCAACATGTTTTTGGACTGTGTGGGAGGAAGCTGGAGAACCTGGAGAGAACCCATGCTGCACGGGGAGAACATCTAAACTTCCCGCAGAAAGATTCCGGGTGTCCTCACCGGGATGTGAACCAGCGACCTTCTAGCTGCGAGGCAACAGTGCTTAACCACCGAGCCACCTTGCAGCCCTCACTCCAAAACAATTCAATTAGTTTTCAATTCAATTTTATTTGTATATCACAGAGTACAACATGTTATCACACAGGACTTAACAGAGTAAGGTATAGGCCTTACAAATTTAGACAGAGAACCCAACAATCCAAAGTAGCCTTTGGACTTCCTCTGAACAAGTGGTTGGTAACGGTGTTTTCATAAGGAAGTTGGAACACTGATTCTTAAACACACTAGAAGTGAAATTGTCCTGCTGGCTTCAGCACACCAA